TAATAAATCTACCTCTCATCGTTAAAACTCTACCAAGATAAGTCTACCAACATTTGTAAACTCTACCAACTCTCAAATAAATCTACCATCGACCTAATAACTCTACCGACAAAATTTTTGCGTTGACCAAAATTTGATAAGTCTACCGTCAAAGCCTAGTAGACTTATCAAATTTTCAGCGCTATAATCTGCCTACGTGGCATTAAAAAAGTAATGGCATTTTCGTAATTAGGTTTTTTTTAACAAAGGCAAAAAGAGTGTTTTGGGTATGCTAGGTTAGTTTTGTAAAAAAAATAAAAGTGCGCCAAACAAATAATATAGATACTTTCTAAGGTTAATGTAGTAATCCTCCCTAGAATTAATTGTTTTGTTTCCTAAATATAGATTTTTCCTCTTGAAAATCTGCTAGGAAGAGAAGGGAAACAAGAGCTTAATGTCAAATTAGGTAAGCATTAACGTATTTAATGGATTCTGATGTAATGAGATTCTACGACCACATGTAGGGGAAGTGTAAGAGATAGGATTTAATAATATTTTCTGGTGATCTGTGGTAATTAATTATTTGGAGTTGTTAGGTCAAAACTATAATTGTTAGGGCATCTCCATCTCTGATACTCAAAGATGAGTTTTTAGCATTAATTTAATAAATATTTTTTTGAATTTTAGAATAGTGAAGAACCCATTTAATTTTGTCTCTCCAACCATGATACTGTGATGTCTCTGTTTCTGAAACTCCACTTTATCTCTGGTTTAGATCCGACGATCAGAAAAGCTCGGAGGAAGGTAAGCTGTAAAATCGTAGGGATGAAGGAAACAATCGATTCAATTTCGGAGACCAAAGATGAGAATCACTGGTGGTCTAACTACGATTTTGGAGTCAACGTCGTCGGACAAGGCGGTGTGTGGCCTCTGTAGTGGGAAGAAGCGATGGAGGAAGAGATGTGTAGAAACAGAGGCGGTGAAGAAATGAAAAGATTATGTGCTCAATATTTGGGTTTAGAAAATTAAAGAAGAGAAACAGAGGCAACCAAAAATTGAAGAAGAAGAAGAGTTACGTTACGAAAAAAAAATTGATGAAGAGAAACAAAATGATCGAGAAAACTTGTCAAGAGAAGAGAGAGAAATTATTCTGCGACGAATGAGAAGCTGCCACGTCGCCGATGATACTCTCATCATACAGGTTCTAAAATATGACTGGGATGATACCGTATCATCGCATCTGGACTTTTTTAAATATTTTTTAACCTAAGAAAAATCACAGGACCCACTTATAAACCTTTGAGTCATCTTCCAATGGAGATGATCTTAATCGAGGCTAACATATCTGGTTGATAGAGTTTTCCTTTTTTTTTTGGGTCAAAGACAAGTTTCCATATTCTAATTAAAAAACAACTAAAATTAAATTCATTAAAATTAAAATAACTTTTTCTGAAACGTAAATTAAATATCGCTGAAATAATTAATGATAAACTGTGTCATCCATATTATGAAGAAATAAATCAGATCACTATTAGATGAAGAACAAAAATAATTCAGATCGTTCGTTTATGAGCTTCTCTAATAAGAATTTGGGACAAAATATCATTTTAGTAGGGTGGGCAAAATCATCGAACCATGAAAAACAAATAGCCCCAATAAATTGTATAAATGATGATAGGCCCCGCATTAACACGATCTCTCACGCTCCTTTTATTTATTTCATTTTATTCCTGGGCAAGTCGTGACTTATATCCAAATATAGGCAAATACTCATAACAAATAGTCAGTTGATTGTGACTTCCGAAACAAAACAATTGCATTTATTTATCCGATTAGTTAGATTTGTAGCCATCTTTCTCTACATGTGTGGGGTAAATAAATTTTCACTGAATCTCACAAGTCAGATGTAAAGAAAATGGTTTAAAACATGTAAAAAATCATGACCAATAGTCTAAAAACTGAGAATAAATTAATACAACAACCTTCACAATTGGAGAGATTAACAAGTAACCTAGAGAGCGTTGACGATGCTAAAACAAATATATTAAAATGGTTGCAATAATACTGACACAACTTCTTCTTTTTGTCAAACTGACACACTTTCAACGGACACTCACAGTGAATCTTGTTTTCTTTTGTGTAAAGTGAATCTTGTTTTCTATATTTCTTTATTTTCTACGTGAAATTATCTACTGAATATTGTATATATGAATTTTTTTTGGTTTTAAATAGGTAAATGTTTTTGTTTGTTAGAGAGCTTAAAAATAGGTAAATGTTGAAATTCTTAATGCAACATTTAACCAAGATGTATACTATATTCTATATAGTTAAGATGTATACTATATAGTCAAGATGCATTGAACAGCTCGTACATTTTGAAATTTGTAATTAAAGGCTTGCACAATAATTAACCAAGTAATGACAAAAAAAAGAAGCAAGTTTGGCCTCACCCATTTCTTTGGCCTTCGAAGGTTCCAAGATCGTTCCAATATATAAGATGCGGGTGAACTAATTTTTTTTGTAAGCAATATTAATTTTCGAAGGTAACATGTGTGTTTTGGTTTGGTTTCGATTTTAAACCAATAACATATTGTATTTGTTTTAGTTGGATTCTATTGTAGGTCATTAATTTTTTTTTCATTTGATCAGAGAGTTTGCTCATTCCCAAAATAAATGGAATCAGTTGACGAAACATACATACTCAAGTAAGTACATAAGAAGTAAGTTGAAAACCATACAAAAAACTGGAAAAGAAAAACCATTAAAGAAAAAGCCCAAATAACTTTGGGAAAATTAAAACCCAACCTTAGCGATAACAAAGATGCCAAAGTACATAGCCAAATAAATGTTATTTAGCTCTATATTATCACCTTCAAACCAGACATTACGATCATCATCACACTCAAATTTGCTGTAGAACATGAAGAAATCTGACCGCTTCTGATTGTGTTAATCTTGAGTTACCTGAATCTAATTTGGCGAAACTTAATCAGCTATTTATTTTGTATGGACACTTTAATTTCTTAAGAGTATTAAAGAAAAGATTAGATTATTAAATTTATATCAATCTTCAGAATTTCTGTCAGTAGCCTATATTAAACTTAGACCTGGTCCAGTAGTGGTCCGTTGGACGGATTTGGTTCGAGTTCATAGGCAAAATGGACTTAAAAAAAAAGAAAAAAGACCCGGAAGAGGTTGATGAACCCGCATCCCAGACACATGACGAAGCGTGAGAGGAGGAATTTTCGTGTCATTTTTGGGGAAGGGAAAATTTTTTTGCCCAAAAATTCATTTCTCCTTCGCGAGTTTTTTTTACTTTCTCTCTTCCTCTCCTACGGCGATTCTCTTTGCCTCCGTCAAATCCGTCGAAACCGTCGACTTTTGCCGGTGTAGTGAACAACTGAGTGTCGGGCTTCCGTGATTATTGCCGAGGTAAGCATTTCTTCTCTTTCTTTTGCCCGATTTCATTCGATAAAAGGAAATTAGGGTTTTGGATTTCATGGCGAAAAATTTGAAGTCTGTAATCGGTGGTTTAGGTTGGATTATTAGTGTCGATTCGAGTCATTTCACCTTATTGAAACACGAAAACGAATTGAAGTTAGTGTCGATCCCCTTCTGTTATGGGCAGAAGATGCAACGCAATTCAGTCCTGTTATGGGAGAAATCCCTCATGATTCAGAAAAAGGAAATTGAGCGGGTTAAGAGCCCGCTATACAGTACATGTATTTTGTTGTAGTATTATGCTTAAATATGTTGTTTCCGAGTTTAGACTTTGTAATCTACTAATTTTTTTTCTTTGACACATTTGATTAGGCTCGGTTGATGGAGATATCAGTTATTGGAAGGCTCAGCTTTTTGGACCAGCAGGATCGCCTTACGAGAACGGAGTCTTCCTAATTGACATGCACTTTCCTCCCCAATACCCGTTCAAGCCACCCAAGGTCTTCTTCAGAACAAAGGTCTTCCACCCCAACGTAGGAGATCGTGGAGATATCTTCCTACGGATGCTCAGTACCGACTACTTCTCGCCCATAAACACCATCCATAAGATTCTCACAAAAATTCATGAGATGCTGAGCAACCCAGAATTGGGTGAGGGGGAGTACTACGATGAAGAGAAAGCGAAGATGTACAAGGAAGACAAGTCGGGGTTTGATGGAAGAGCTCGGGAATGGACGTTGGAGCACGCTAGGGCTTAGGGTTTAGTTCATCTATCTTTATCTTTTATGTTCTTTTGTTATTCACTACTTTGTGTTAGCTTAAACCCTTGAAAACAATTTAATATATTTTGTGAATTATGCTTAAGCCGTTCATGATAAGTAACTGTATTTTAAAGTGAGTCATACACACCTCTCATCACTAAAATTGAATCGAAAATCGAAAATTTGTGTAACAAATGTTTAAGTATTTCTATATTTTAAAAATTGTGTGTTTGTATTTTTTTCTTAATAAATTGTATTTTTCTATAGTTTAAAAATTGTATTCTTTTTTTAATAAGTGATTTTTATTTTAATTACAAAATTAAAAAAATTAATATAAAATTCTGGATGAATCCCATTAACGGGTTCACTACTGGAACCTCAAACTTAACCAGAATTCATCACAAAAACGAAAAAAAAAATTATTTATTTAATCTGATGAACCCCATAAGGGGGTTCACTACTGCACATGCTTTTACGTTTGCAAAACTAGTTATACTATTTTTTTATGAGATAAGTTATGTTAATTTATACTTTTTCCGTTTTACAAAGAGTGTTGTTTTAAAGTTTTATTTTTGTTTCACAAAGAATGTCGTTTTATATTTTCAATGCAAAATTTTAAATAATATTTCAGTTTTAATTTTATTAATTTAATGTATTTACTAGATAAAACCAAATTATTTAATGTATTAATAAGGAACAAAGTTGTACTTTTAATAATTTTTTTAATATGTGTGAAAAATGAAGAAATGTAAAAATGGCCTTGTACAGTAACAACAACAAATAAAAGGGAAAACGCATCGTTCTTGGCCGCCACTTAGGTCGCTCGTCTCGTCATCCAGGAAATGTCAAGCAGAGAAAATCCAAGCGGACTCTGCAAAAACATTCCAAATCTCATCTCTTCCTTCGTCGACACCTTCGTTGATTACTCCGTCTGCGGAATCTTCTTACCACAGGACCCTACTCCACAGAATGAGATTCCGCAAACCAGGTTCGACAAACCCGAGCGCCTCGTCGCCATCGGCGATCTCCACGGCGATCTCGACAAGTCCAAGGAAGCATTCAGGATCGCCGGATTAATCGATTCGTCGGATAAATGGACGGGCGGATCAACGATGGTTGTTCAGGTGGGCGACGTCCTAGATCGAGGCGGAGAGGAGCTAAAGATACTCTATTTCCTCGAGAAACTGAAGCGAGAGGCCGAAAAATCGGGAGGTAAGATTCTGACTATGAACGGGAACCACGAGATCATGAATGTAGAAGGTGACTTTAGGTATGTCACTGAAAAGGGTTTAGAGGAATTCCAAATTTGGGCAGATTGGTATTGTTTAGGGAACAAGATGAAGAGCTTATGCCTAGGTCTAGATAAACCCAAGGACCCTTACGAAGGGATTCCAATGAGCTTCCCTCGAGCTAGACCGGACTGTTTCGAAGGAATGAGAGCTAGGATTGCTGCACTGAGACCTGAAGGTCCGATTGCAAAGAGGTTCTTGTCTAAGAATCAGACAGTCGCTGTTGTTGGAGATTCTTTGTTTGTTCATGGAGGTCTTTTAGCTGAGCACATAGAGTATGGACTGGAGAGGATAAACGAGGAGGTTACATGTTGGATTAACGGGTTAAGAGGAGGAAGATATGCGCCTGTGTATTGTAGAGGAGGGAACTCTGTTGTTTGGTTGAGGAAATTCTCGGATGAGATGGCTCACAAATGCGACTGTTCAGCTCTTGAGCATGCTCTTTCCACCATTCCTGGTGTTAAGAGGATGATCATGGGACACACGATCCAAGATGCTGGTATCAACGGTGTTTGCGATAATAAAGCCATTAGGATTGATGTGGGCATGTCCAAGGGATGTACCGATGGATTGCCTGAGGTTTTGGAAATCCGCAAGGACTCTGGTGTGCGGATAGTGACGTCGAATCCATTGTATAAGGAGAATCCGATTTCTCTTTTAGCTCCTGACAGTAAAACGGGTCTCGGGTTGCTGGTACCAGCTGAGCATGTTCCTAAGCAAGTTGAAGTCAAAGCTTAAATACCTTTTTAGTGAACACTAGTTGATATTCTCTGTTTAGATGATTGATGCCTTTTGGTATGTCTAGCATTGGCGGATTCTTTGTATGAATATCAGCCAGATTCTTGTGCTCTTCTTGGAGCATCAATTGTGGTTTTAAATTATCAGAAAGTTAGACAATGTTTGTAGCAATATAGTGAATCATTTGTTCAAACATTATATCTGATTCAATACATTTGTTAAGGGTTTCTAATTTTTGTTTTTGATGTATGTCTGGTTTACTAAAAAAGTGAGATTTACTTGAAAGAAAAAAACCGACAAAATATTAAAACTAAATAAATTTATTTTGTGACCCAATCCATTTGTTTGGTCAACGTTACCGAGTTATATACGTATATAAAAAAGTTCTAATAATGGTTTGAGATTAAAGACCCTCCTAAACTCATATGTTAAACAGTCTCGGATAAGAACATTCGAACAATTACCGACGCACAAAACTTTCAAGGAGAAACAAAAAAAAGGGAAAAATGTTGTCGAGATTGTTCAAGGCAGGTGAAAAGGTTTTGTTGAATCTGGTTAACAAGAAAGACCTTCACATGGCGTCGAGGAATATGGAGAATTCTCCCAAAGTGCAAGAGCTTTACGACCTTTGCAAGGAGACTTTCACTGGGAAAGCTCCTTCTCCTGCTTCCATGGCTGTCCAAAAACTATGCTCTCTCTTGGGTATTTTGTTTCTATTCTCTTTTCCTCCCTTTTGTCTCCGTTTGATCTGCGATAGGGTTTGCAATTATAGCTGGTCATGATCTAATCTGAAGCGATTTACAAGGATTGAGTTAAAGGGTTTTGGGTTGTTTTGTTGGATTTCAATAAATGTAGGAAATTCTCATGAATGGCTCATTTGATTTTCGAATCCCACCAAATCTGGGAAATTGCATACTCACAGTTTGAAATCGTCGGAGTTCGCTGAGGAGAGTATGTATGTAGCTTATTTTGTGGGGTCTCTATGCATGCAAAGCTCTTCAGTCTTCACTCATCAATGAAACTTAAGGTTTAAAGAAGAGATAGATCAATCTATTGTACCTAAAGGGTTTAGTAGGATCAGTGATTTTAGAGTTCATTGTGGTGAGAGTTGAAGCTACGAAATTTGGGGAATATTGAGTTTATAAGCAGAGGTATGATCTCGTTTTTGTTCATTATGTGTTCAGATACGGTTAGTCCTGCAGATGTTGGGCTCGAAGAGGAAGCTCAAGACGATGATCGAGGCTATGGAGTTTCTGGGGTTAGCCGTGTTAACAGAGTAGGACGATGGGCACAACCGATAACATTCTTAGACATTCATGAATGTGATACTTTTACAGTAAGTCTTTGAGGTTGATACTAAAGCCTTCTTGGTGATCAGTCAAGAATCTAAAAAACAAGCCTTTGTTTGTTCTTCTTCAGATGTGCATTTTCTGCTTCCCAACATCATCAGTGATTCCATTGCATGACCATCCAGAGATGACTGTGTTTAGCAAAATCCTCTATGGATCACTTCATGTGAAAGCTTACGATTGGGTCGAACCTCCATGTATTATCACACAAGACAAAGCCGCGCCCGGTTTTCTTCCAGGTTATCGTTTTTTTTATTCTTCTTACTCATCCCTGTCTTTGGTCTCTTAAAGGCTCACTTGTGTGATATGATAACTAAGAAAGACCTCTTGCAACAACATGTAGCAGCAAGATTGGCGAAATTGGTGAGCGACAAAGTCATAACGCCTGAGTCTGAGATACCAGTGTTGTACCCAAAGACTGGAGGGAATCTCCATTGTTTCACTGCGCTGACTCCATGTGCGGTTCTCGACATTCTCACACCTCCTTACAAAGAAAGCGTTGGCAGGAGTTGCAGTTATTACATGGACTATCCTCTCTCCACTTTCGGTATGCAAACTCTCTCTTTCTTTATTTTTGTTTCACCACTCTCTTCCTCCTCTAGAAGAACATTATGTTACTCTGTTTTCTTTTACCGTTGGTGATAATAGCATTGGAGGAAGGAATGAAGGTTGTAGAAGGAAAAGAAGACGAATACGCTTGGCTTGTGCAGATCGACACACCCGATGATCTTCACATGCGTCCCGGTTCATATACCGGTCCAACTCTTCGGGTCTAGATTTTTCATTTCTGCTGTTGGTTTTTGTAGCTAAGTAACTCTTGTATAATTGTATTGTATCATTCCAAGATAAGCTTGTGGAGAAGATGTCAATACGATTTCAGATTATTATAGAAGCACTCTTTGATCGGTCCATTTCCGCTTAAAATTAATGGTCGTAAAAATCAATTCTTTTACGGGAGAATTTTCAAGTGGGACAAAAAGAAAAGTTTGTTTTTTTTTTAAATATGTTAAAGAGAAGAGTGACGAGCAGATAGTGCTGGATCAATTTGCCGCCGCCGCCGCCACGTTAAACCTTCTTCTTCTTCTCTCTCTCTGGTGCTTTAGGTTTTACCATTCTTCAATCTCGTCCTGCAATGGCGTCTTCACTTCTCAAAAGCCCTAATCTCTCATCAATAACAATCACCACCCCTTCTCTTCCCGCCTTCTCCTCAAAATCCCCAACTGTTTCATTCCGTTTCCGTCATCGTTCCTCCATCTCCCTCCGAGGCGACTCATTTCGCCTCTCGTGTTCCGTCTCAGATCCTTCTCCTCTGCCACCTCACTCACCTCGCCGCCGCCGCCCCGAATACATCCCCAGCCGCATTTCTGATCCCAGCTACGTCCGCGTCTTCGACACGACTCTCCGCGACGGCGAGCAATCTCCGGGGGCTACTCTAACCTCCAAGGAAAAGCTGGACATCGCGCGTCAGCTAGCGAAACTCGGTGTTGACATCATCGAGGCCGGATTTCCCGCCGCCTCGAAGGACGATTTTGAAGCAGTCAAGACCATAGCGAAGACAGTCGGAAACGACGTCGATGAAAACGGATATGTACCAGTCATCTGTGGACTCTCTAGATGCAATAAGAAAGATATCGAGACGGCTTGGGAGGCCGTGAAATACGCCAAACGGCCTAGGATCCACACTTTTATCGCCACGAGCGACATTCACTTGGAGTATAAACTTAAGAAGAGCAAAGAGGAGGTCATCGAGATCGCAAGGAACATGGTTATGTTCGCGAGGAGCTTGGGCTGCGAAGACGTCGAGTTTAGTCCAGAAGATGCCGGAAGGTTCGATGATTACTTTTGTCAATCATATAAATTCATTGTTTTAATTTTTTTTTTCATAAAGTTTTAATCTTGATTTGGAAGCTAAGATTGTGGAATACGTTTTCCCTACTTTTGGGATTCTGGATTTTCGATTCCTTTGCGATGATTCATCTTTTCCTTTTTTTGGTAATGTAGATACTTTTTTTTTTGGGTTCTTTAGATCCGAGAGAGAGTTCCTGTACCAGATTCTTGGTGAAGTCATAAAAGCTGGAGCAACAACACTCAACATACCTGATACTGTTGGTATAACTTTGCCTAGTGAGTTTGGTCAGTTGATTGCTGATTTAAAAGCCAATACTCCAGGGATCGAAAATGTTATCATCTCAACTCATTGTCAGAATGATCTTGGACTCTCTACGGCCAACACTTTATCTGTATATCCTTTTACTCCTTTTTCTTTTTACGAGGAACTACTTGGCTAACTCAACCCGTTAAAAATGTGTGATAACCTTTTTTGAATTCAGGGAGCACATGCAGGTGCGAGGCAGGTGGAAGTGACCATTAATGGAATCGGTGAAAGAGCTGGAAACGCTTCACTCGAAGAGGTCAGAGTTTCATTTCTTTGTGAAGACATGTGAACCTTTCCGCCACTAAAATCCTTTTTTTTTTTTGGGGATACTTAATCCTTACCTGATATATCCGATTAAGTGTAGGTTGTGATGGCCATAAAATGCCGTGGAGATCATGTATTAGGAGGTCTATATACCGGAATTGATACTCGGCACATTGTTATGACAAGCAAGATGGTACACTTTTAGACTTCATTCATAACATTGTGAAAACAAATACTAATTTTCTTAAGAACGGAAAAGACTTTGTAGATTGCCATATGAGGTGTCTCATAACTCGTGGCTTGTTTTCACAGGTTGAAGAGTACACTGGAATGCATACACAGCCCCATAAGGCTATTGTAGGAGCGAATGCCTTTGCGCATGAAAGTGGTATTCATCAGGTCAGTTGATAAAAATCATCTTTGTAATACGTATTTTTATTATTTCTGTGAAGAGGTTACTCTTTTTGAGAAACATTAAAGGTTATCTCATAATCTGTTTATTTTTTCCTCTTTGCAAATTATAACTCTCCCTGTAAGCTGTAGCCTTTTATTAAGTATGCTCATGTTCCCATTCCTCAGCATCCATTGCCTGACTATGAACATAATGGGTTAATAAATGATTAAGGTCTCAACTATTTTGGCTTGCACGCTCACTCTTTCCGTCTGCTGCATAACTGTACTACTTTCTTCATGATTGTTTTTCCAGTTGCGCTTAATGACTGTTCATGCTTCTTTTAGGATGGCATGCTGAAACATAAGGGTACATATGAAATTATATGCCCCGAAGAAATCGGACTCGAACGATCAAATGATGCTGGCATTGTTTTGGGGAAGCTTAGGTATGGAATTTTTTCTTGTTTACTCTGTTTTGCCTAGGCGTAAACCCCCAATTTGTCTTTCTTGTTCAGACTATGCAACAAGCCTGTAAGCTCTACAATTATGATAAATCGCCTGTGACGTTGAATATTTCCTGACATTATTAAGCATTTGATATTTTGACAATTTACCCCTTCATAAGCTAGTGTATACTACCTATTTGTTTGAACCCTGAAGTCTAACTGTTGGTTTCTGCTTTTGCTTGGATATAATATTATTCAGTGGGCGTCATGCGCTGAAAGGCCGTTTGACTGAGGTACACAGCAATCATACCGAAACATATACTCGGTATTGCCATCTTTGTTGGAGACACTAATGTCCTCTCATCTTTTCTACTTTTCTAGCTTGGTTATGAACTAGATGATGAACAGCTAAGTACCATTTTCTGGCGCTTCAAATCTGTGGCTGAGCGGAAAAAGGTAGTTCCTTCGGGTTATCCTGTTATTTATTCAAATGTTTAGTTTGCGGTGTCAATTCCAGATATGAGCTTTGCAGCCATTTTTCCTAGCTTCATAAATCCATTGGTACCTTTGTTTGCTTGGTTGTGGCTGGATAGACTTATGATATGTAGAGGGAGATGGAAGAGGATTGCTTTAGTGTTCTTGAGGGTTTATGTAATGTCTCCTGATCGCATAATGTTTCATTGCTGATTCAGAGAGTTACCGATGCGGACATAATAGCTTTGGTATCTGATGAAGTTTTTCAGCCAGAAGCCGTGTGGAAACTCCTGGACATTCAGGTGAAATTGGGATCAAGATGATCTTTTTTTGTCACTCTTTTTTTTTTTCTTGTGCATGGTCTTTAGTCAATTCTCAATTTGATAAAAAGTGGATGGAATGCAGATAACTTGTGGGACTCTCGGGCTTTCAACAGCAACTGTTAAACTTGCTGACGCTGATGGCAAAGAGCATGTCGCTTGTTCTATGGGAACTGGGCCTGTTGATTCAGCTTACAAGGCAGTTGATCTTATCGTCAAGGTAATTTTTTTATACAACTTAGGCTCTAATCATATACAAGATATTTCACATGTAAGATTATTATCGTTTATTTAAAACTCCTACCCTCCTATTATAGGAACCGGCGACTCTGTTGGAGTACTCAATGAATGCAGTAACAGAAGGCATCGATGCCATCGCAACCACACGAGTTCTTATCCGCGGAAACAACAATTACTCATCTACGAACGCAATAACTGGTGAAGAAGTTCAAAGGACCTTTAGGTAAAAAAAAAAATTATATCACTCTTTCCTCATATCTCATTCAAATCGGATCGGCATAGTTACGATGTTTTTTTTTTTGTCTTTGGCAGTGGAACCGGAGCAGGAATGGACATTGTGGTATCGAGCGTCAAAGCTTATGTGGGAGCTTTGAACAAAATGCTCGACTTCAAAGAAAACTCTCCCACAAAAATCCCTTCTCAAAACAGCAAAGTCCTTGCCTGAATAAAAAAAATCTTTGGCTCAGACCAAATGTAGGTTTTTTTTTTTCTAGGTACATAATTTGGTAATAAAGGGAGCTTTAAAGTTTGCATGTTGTATTTCTAAGTTACATGTCAAGAGTTTGTGTACTATACATATTTACATAACTTGAATCTCTATATTTAGAAACAATCATTCACGCTCTTGGTATCAGTAAAAAGAATAACCCAACCGTTCAACAGTTTTAGCCTGTCCCCAAAAAAGCTCCCCTTTGACTAAACTAATGTCTTCAAACTCAAACATCTTGTTCCTCTATGTTACCTTAGTTTGGTTTATGCAATCTGTTGTCGATCCAAACACATCTTCACTAATTACATCTATGCGATGATGTTCGTCTTCATTGTCCTTTAGTGGTTACTTTTTTCATCTTTTGAAACGCTATCGCCAAGAACCCGGCTGAGGAAACCCGGACCGCCAAGCAATTGGTTGGCCTGCTAGTAGTCCCTGCAAGTAAACTCGCAAGAGTCACGTACTGTATCATTCATATTAATCATGATTGCAACTTCAATGCCAGCTAAAAAAGCAATGTCTGGGTAAGTTCATATCATTAAAACAGAACAAAAACCTGTCATATTTCCAAACTTAACCGTACAAACAAATGCTAGCTTCGTAAAATAAGTACAGTATATTCAGCTAACAACATCAAAAGTGCCATTTATGGAATATTTCCACATAACTTTCAATTAAAAAACTTAATAGATTTTCTCTTTTTTTTTGGGTAAAATAAATTTTCTCTTAAACCACGAGTTCTCTTAAACTTAATTTATCAATACATAGAGAACCAAGTCCCTCAACCTCAACTCAAGAATGTGCTTACGACTACTGTCTGAGTTGCAGTCCGATCCGTCTTCTCTTGTCCTTCAATATCTTTCTCGTTTGTCTCGGCCTCGCCATTGCCAAGTCCATTATTCACAATTTCGATGTACCCGCTGATTTATCAAGGCTCTTATACTTGACTCATTTTCCATTTCACACATGCTAATTCTAGCATTTTCATTAGTTTCTTCTAATACAGATTATCCCTTTTCTTGAGATAGGATTCGTCTTTTTTTTTTTTAAAGGAGGTGCTAGAGATGGGATTCTTCCATATAAAGAAACCAAACAGACAACAATTGACAATCGACAAATCAAAATTATTAACAGAATTAATCATAAAACGGATATTATTTAATATGGTTTAGATAACAATTTAACCAGTCTGTGATCATTTGGCCTACAACCCCCGTTTTAGTATTTTTGACCGGTGTGAATTTCAATGCGTTTATTTTAGTTTCTTTTTTAGTATAGCCACTTTTCTTTACTGAATAGTAAATACTGCTGCTCGCTCTTGTAAATGAATATACACTTATTTTTAATTTGATTAATTGATCAGAGAAAATCTAGAAATTTGGTTATTAATAACATGTTTTGTGGCATTGTGCTAGGAGAGAAACATGCATGGATTTTAATTACTTTTGATCTTTTTTTTCAATGAAGGGAACTTTTATGCGTGGAAAGAGGTGACGAGATCAGCGACGTTATTTATATTTGACCACCATACTGATATGTCAAGACTCAGGAGTATTAATATGTCAAGACTCAAGACTACGTAGTGAAGCCGTTTTGAACGGTATGGAAGGTGATCCATGCGTCTCTTGGCTTTTTGTTTTCAGGGATTCCTCGTTTGTTCTCATTTGGAGAATCACCCAAAAAAAAAATGAAAGACAATACAGTGGCTGTTCAAAATGCGCAACAACTCGAGGCCAAAAATAAGATATGATCATATTATTTGGAAATATAATTTGTGGAAAAAATATTTCATTATGTATCAAATTCAAACTGAAATGAGAACCATATCAGATATATTGATTATATAAACTACATCTATCTTTTTCATTTTGATTTTCCTAAACCGGAAATAACTAGAAGAAATCAAACTAACTTTGATTTAACATTTATTCCGTTACGTTGGATTAACATTCTGTAGCTTCAAATAAAAAATAATACAGTTTATTTGACGCAACCTTAAAAAGCAAATGAAAAATAAACGCATTTCCCAACAATCTCGGATTCAATAAGTCCTGATAAATTCTCATAGTTTAAAAGAGTCGAGCGACCGTTTAAATAGTGTAATTAGTGACGTGGCAATAAGACATAGTCAAAATCTAATATAACTACTCTCTCTAAACTAAAGGATCTTCTTAACCCCACACACGTTCTCTACCTCTAGTGGCATAAACCAGTAATTAAACACTAAAACCAGTGACTAATAACCTCCACTACTATCACCCACTACCCCAAAAACAAAACAACCGTTCCCTCTTTCCCCAATAACCACGACTCCACACACTTAAAAACACACTAAAACGTTACGAAACAAAATTATCAAACTCAAATAACCAAACCTCTCTATCTCTCTCTCTCTCTCTCTCTCTGCATATAAATTTCCAAACCTCTTTATTTGGTTGTTCGATTACATCATCATACATCAGAGAGCGAAAAGAAATCATAAAAAAAAAAAAATGTTTAGAGTAAGCAACTTCGTAGTGGGTCTAGCCAACACGTTGGTGATGTTAGTGGGTGCATCGGCGATTGGTTACTCGATTTACATGTTCGTTCATCAAGGCGCCACCGATTGTGAAACAGCGATTCGTGCACCACTTCTCACGACAGGGATCGTCCTGTTCGTTGTGTCGTTAATAGGAGTGATAGGATCATGCTTCAAGGACAACTTTGCAATGGTCTCCTACTTGATCATATTGTTTGCCGGCATCGTTGCGTTGTTGGTTTTCTCCATATTTCTCTTCTTCGTCACCAACAAAGGAGCCGGTCGTGTGGTCTCTGGTCGAGGCTATAGAGAGTACCGGACGGTGGATTTCTCTACTTGGCTTAATGGCTTTGTTGGTGGGAAGAGATGGGTTGGGATTAGGTCTTGTTTGGCTGAGGCTAGCGTTTGTGATGATTTGAGTGATGGTCCTGTTAGTCAGATCGCTGATGCATTTTATCACCAAAACTTGTCTCCAATCCAGGTACTTTAATTATTTATTTTTTTGTGTAATAAACGAGTTTTTGATTAGGTTTTTGTGTGTTTTTTTGTTTTTGGTTTGGATTTGATTTTTCAAAAGTTTTGGAGTTGGGTTGTATTTGGTTTTATAATGAATGCAAACACAAGTTTTGAGATTTGATTTGATTAAAAAAAAAAAAAAAACCCTTTAAAATATCCAACCGAATATAAGAACAAACTTCCTTCATTTTACAAATTTGTTATCCATATATTGCTTTAAAAAGGCGTTTAATATTACGTATAACGTATTCGTTATGTAACTGTTGATTAGTATTTATAATGTTGTTTTTATTGTGTTGAGTAGTCGGGGTGTTGTAAGCCACCGTCGGATTGCAACTTTGAGTTTAGAAACGCCACGTTTTGGTTACCACCGGCTGCTAAAAACGAAACGGCGGTTGCGACCAACAACGGCGACTGCGGTGCGTGGAGCAACGTGCAAACGGAGTTATGCTTTAACTGCAACGCATGCAAAGCGGGTGTGTTGGCGAACATAAGAGACAAGTGGAGGAATCTTTTGGTTTTCAACTCATGTCTCCTCCTCCTCCTCATCACCGTCTATTCCTGCGGTTGCTGTGCTCGTCGTAACAATCGAACGGCTTGGAATTTGGAAAAGTGATTCTGTCTTTATCACTTTTAATTTATTTGTGTTCTTGTTTTAGTTTGTTTGTTTTAATTATTAGTTAATCAATCATCTTTTGGTTTCTTAGGACAATCACATGTTTGTTTCGAACCAATCATCATGAAATTTATCACATTTCACTAGTCTTATAATTATCCAAACATTTGTCAAATTTCTAATTACTGTATATATCTCTCTTGGTTTCTTAGGACATTATCATGTTTGCTAGACAAACAGTCATTATGAATTTTAAAACATTCGACTTATTCAAACATGTAGAAATAAATTCTTCTTTCTATTTTTATCAGTAACAATTAACAAACCCACAAAGTAAAACAAAACAAAACAATGTAACATACAAAATTACAAACCAAATTTACCAAGAAAAAAAATCAATCAATCTTAATGTCCTCTCGTTGATCATCGTTCATCAATCTCTGTCGTCGTCGTCATTATTGATTGATCGATTTTTGATTTAGTGTTTCCCAAAGAAAGAAAAAAAAACAAAAAAAATGGAGGAACAGCTAAGACAATTAAAAGACATTTTCGAGCGGTTCGACATGGACGGAGACGGAAGCTTAACGATCTTAGAACTGGCTGCGCTTCTCCGGTCACTTGGTCTCAAACCTTCCGGCGACCAAATCCACGTTCTTTTAGCAAGCATGGACTCAAACGGCAACGGTTTTGTCGAATTCGAAGAGCTCGTAGGAGCGATTCTTCCCGACCTCAACGAAGAGATCCTTATCAATTCCCAGCAGTTACTCGACATTTTCAAATCGTTCGATAGAGATGGTAACGGATTCATCAGCGCCGCTGAATTGGCTGGAGCCATGGCCAAGATGGGTCAACCATTGACGTATAGAGAATTAACGGAGATGATCAAAGAAGCTGATACAAACGGTGATGGTGTTATAAGCTTCGGTGAATTTGCTTCCATTATGGCAAAATCTGCTGTTGATTATTTCGGTTTAAAAATCAATTCTTGATCATTACGATTTCATTGCATTCTCTCTCTTTTTTTTTACCATATATCACCTGAAGGCTAGAATTGATGATTGATCGACCATTGATATATAAATCAGAGAAAATAGTGTCTTTTTAAGAGATCCAGGGGACGATTAATAAAAGGAGGACAAAAACTCAGGGAAAAACAGATACTCTTGAAGTTTGAGGGAAACAAAACGATAAGAAATCTAGAAAACAAGCTCATGGGGTTTCATTCCTTGTTTCAATGAGAACCTGGCGCCGAGGTAAGTCTTGAGCTCTGGCACTGCTTCAATGGATTTGATAAGAGCTGTGTCAACGGTTTTCTGGTCTTCCTTCTTCTCTTGTGGAATCTCTTTCTTCTCCTGAAGATTACCAAAGAATAGCAATGATTCAGTAATGGTACAAGAAAGATAACAAGATCTCTAAAGTGATGACAAGATCTCTAAAGTGTATATATACATACCTCTTTCTCTGCTTCGAAGAACTCGCCTTCTCCTTTCTTCTTCTTCTTCTCAGCAACCTTGCCAAAATACTTGTCATCGAATTTCTCAACGTTGACTCCAGAGATGTCAACCTTTGTGGATGTTCCAATCACATACGACTGGTTCACACGCCTCAATGGAACACCATTGATCTTGAATGGTCCTGCAAGAGGGAAATCAACAAAGACAGAATATTCATGAACAAAGCTTCGAAACATTTCAAACAAACATTACATTTCAAGAGCAGAGATAAGAACCTACCTGTTACCAGAAGCAAACCAGAAGGAAGTTGCTTGAGAAAGACAACTCTCTTTCCCTTGAATCTACCCGCAAGAATGATCAACACAGTTCCTGGAGTGATGCTGGATCTGCAATACAGACATAAGAACACCGTATTTTATATTGAGATTAGTGAAAATGATCATAGGTAGAAGTAATATGCAAATCTCCATGAATCCTACATTTCAACATATCCTCCAAAAACACTATAAGCTATCGATCTCTCTTATATTCCCAGCAAATCCTCTAGAACAAACTACTACGCAATCTACCGGAACTAAACGCACAAATACAATTCAGCTTGAAATTAAATACCAAATGGAAGAAGATGGATTACTTTAGCTTGGTGGGCTTTGGCTTGCGCCTGTTGGCTAACGGTTTCTTAACGTCTTCGGCAGGATAAAACTTGGCCGGCTTCTCAACTGGAGCTTCGACCTTGGACTTAGCGTCGTGACGGGGGAAAACGCCGCCGTTTTTGGCCTTAATTGCCCACAAACCCCTCTTGTGGTACATTTGCGACCGAGAGTATTTGCCAACCCCCCTGATGAGATCAGGGTTTCGGCTTACTTTCGGGGTCCTCTGCTTCGCCGCCGGCATTTTCGCTGTTTTCTTCTCTGTGACGAACTCTCAGTGGCGTAAAACCCTAATTTGGAGTCAGCAGCTCTTAAATATAATGGAGATAGCAGCGACAGAAAAAAACCTAATGGACCTTATACTCCAATGGGCCTTAAATGAGTGAAGAGTCTAATAATGGGTTTGGGTTTCTAAGCTATGTGGCATACGAATATTCAAGTAAAAAACTAGAAAAGTTGGGTAATTACGAAGCAAAATTTTCAGCAAATATTTAAAAAGTAGAGACGAAGCAATTTGGTTACAACTGAACACACACACACACAACACAGAATATCAAAGCAAAAGCATAAGAAAAAGAGTCATAAAGTACAAATGATGAAAAAATCCCAAACTGTAAATATAAAAATTAGTAAAAAGAGAGACAAATAATTGTGTTATTGTCATGTTCCTATAGAATACAGATGTTAGCTAACAGTGGGGAAAATAGACAAATCAACAAAAAATAAACTTTGGTAATAAGGAAATAACATCAGAATTTGATCAGTCTTCAGACTTGTTAATGCTTCATGTGTGTTGTTGTCCTTGGACGAGCAAACCCCGGCTGCACCAATCAAACATTTACTGTATTAGTGTATGTCTATATATATATAGACACAGAATCGTGTTGAACAGCTTCACTGTTTGTGAGCATCATCGTAGTAAAGTTACCTGAAGCAGCATTGAAGGAGCTTCTTGATGAACATGAACATGGCTTCTCGTTTTCCTTCTATCTAACGAAGGACTATTGGCAACGCCTATGTCCCAAAAGCTTCTCTTTTTAGCTGTTGCAGCTGGAGATGCAAACCGATGACTCGGACTTTTCAGCTCCTTTTCCTTTGGTCTCAAGCTCCCTCTTGTCACAATCCTCCTCGTTTCTTTGCTTCTTTCTGGAGTTTTCTCGCTCTTTTTACTACAAAGATCTTTCATTAATTCCTCTTTCTGCTTCTTCATCTGCAACCCATGTTCCCTCTTCATTCTCTCCATCTCCATCTTCAATGCCTTAACAGTTAACTGAAGCTCCTTCACAGCTTCTTCTGCTTTACTCCTTTTGGATGATTCTGGTGTGAAACATGTCCCTGACAACAACGAATGCCTCGGTTTCTTCTTCTGCTGGGCTGTTAATGCAGATGGTGGAGTCATTAGAGATGAGATTGATGGAGGTGTCTGAGAAATGTTATTGTTATTAGCAGCTGCTAAGGTCTCTGCTTGAAGAGTCAAAAGCTTCTGCTGCTGTTTAGCAAGCTGGACACGCAACTCACGGTTCTCTTCCTGGAGCTCTAACAAGAGCTTGGCCTGATCAGGCCCTCCTTCTTGTTCACCCACTTGAACCACCTCTTCATTCACTTCACACCCCTTCACGCGAATCTCCTTGGCTCGATCTGCCCAATGGAGAGTATTCTGGGTTTCACCAAAAGAATGATCGCTTGGACTTATATTAGCAATCATCACCGTGTTACATGAGCCGCCTAGCGAGTCTTTGAGTAACTGTGTGAGCTTTGAGTTTCTGTAGGGAATATGTTTCTTGCCTTCCACAAGCGCGTTTATGCAACTACTTAATGCAAGAAGTGATCTGTTTATGTTGGCTCCTTCAAGTGATCTAAGCGTCCGTTGATCAGTTGCCACCGCTCTTTCCGAGCCCGCAAGATCAATGAGAGATAGCTTCCCAATTCGGCTGAGGGTATTCATGAAAGCATCTCTGGTCCTATACTCCACGATGACCTAAAAGAACCCCAACAAGAGATCAACTTTAAGACATTTCAGGCCCCAAAACTGATGATACTTTCGATTTGAGCTATCTGAACCTGAAGAATGGCGTGTGAGCGAGAAGATGTTTCATTGCAACGAGTTGGCTCAGTGGTTCTGTTTTGGTTTCCCCTTTGGAGCAAAGCCATAACCTGCAAAAAACCATCACAAAAAAAGGTTTAGCTTTGCTTAGCTCTTGAGTCTCAAGATCTTTAAAAAATCAAAATGTACAGATTTTAATAAGAAACCTCATCTGTGGAATAAGCTCTATATTGAGTAAGACCAGCAGCCACAATTCCCTAATTTTGATTACATTCAAATAAAAGCAAATGAATGAGATCAGTAAGTTCTTATCCCAAGCTAAAAGAGAGAACAACAACAACAAAAGGTAAGTTTAGTTTTATGTTTACCTGTTTATCTTCGCGGAGTATGAGCGGTCTACCAGGTGAAAGCAAATCTCTAACAGTTTCATTATACACCTCGAGATAAGAAAGATGAACAACATGGTTCCCATCTAAGCTTCTTTGTCTAACCTTAGCAAACAAATCTTTGATTGCTAAGACCATTACACCTGGATTTTCCATTGTCCCTAGCATTGTGTAAGTCTTGCCTGCTCCCGTAGCACCGTAGCAGAAAACCGAACCGTTTCTTCCCTCAAGAACTGCTTCAAGAAGATCTCCTGTTCTGAATAAATCAAAAGGGAAATACATCTAAGAAAGCGCAGCATTCAAACAATGCTAATGAAAGGATTCATCATTCATTACAGACATTACGTTGGAGATGATGGAATAGACACTTACGTGGTGGAATAGACTTCTCGTTGTGTTGTGGTGTCAGGAAAAGATGAATCAAAAGTGAAATGACGAACACGGAGCCTCTTAAGCCTAAGGTAGTCGTTGTCATTGGTAAACTCCGTTAGATAAACATCTCTTTTATTCAGAATCTTGACACAACATCGCGACCCATTCTCTCTTTCCTTTTTCCCCATTGGTCTAAGCCTAACAAACACCGAGATCCGGCTACCACAAGCATCAAGATTCTCCAATTTCTCACCCTTTTCAGCTGCTGTGGCCTTTCTAGCTCCATTCCCCATTGAGAGCTTTCTAATCACAGTAGAAGATGGACCACTAGGCTTAACTGGAACCGAGTTAATCCCGAAAATCCGATCTGCGTTAGCTACATTGTTCTCTTTGGTTTCTTCGTCAACAAAGTTTGAATCTTTACCGTCCTGACGATGAAATCTCTCACCTTTCTTGCAAGAATCGAGCAGCTGGTGGGTCTTAAACCTCTGATCTTCGGGTTTCGGAGACTGATTAGGGTTCCTGAGAGAGAAAGATGCTCGCTTTTGCTGCTCGTACAAGAGAGTCAAAGCTTTCATCTTTTCCTTGAGCCCTTGATGTGGATTTCTAAACGGAAGATTCAGATTTGTGTTTTCTTGCCCATTTTGCTCCTGATTCAGCACCTTAGATCGGGTCGATACCGGCATTTTCTTCTCTTTCCTTTTATTTTTCCCCCGAAGAATCTAAGATTATCTCACTATACCCTAAACAAAAAACCCAGAAAATAGATTGTAGAAGAAGGAGAAAGAAAGAAGATCGTGTGTATGATCTTAGAGTTAAAATTTAAGAGGAATCAATGGCCGTTGATTGGACTGGAGGAGTGCGTTGGTCAAAACAAAAGCTTTCAAAGTGTAGAAAAAATTGCTATTTTCACTCTTGTTTTTGGATATTTTCCCACTCGAAGAAGAATGAAAACGAAAACAAACAAAAAATGTGTGTAACGGTCAGAAATTGCTTTGTCAGCCCAATCGTTGAGCTTTGAGGGCCCAACTTAATTTATTTTATTTTATTTTATTTTACTTACTTTTAATGTGTGGCACGGGAACGTCGGGAAGCATCATTTGATTTAATTCAATATTTTTTATTTTTACTAACCGAGTATATTTGGGTTTTCCGTTTTGATTTTAGTTCCGACATCTACCATTTTGGTTTGGTATAATTAATTATGGCTTGATTGTGTTTTAACTTTTAACTCGAACTTTTGCATTTAATGTATGTCTGAAATCGAGATTAAGCTTGTCTTTTTCTTTTTGTCAAACGCTATCCTCATTTTATTAGTCGAATATATGACGAGTTTTGGTGGTAAACTGATATTTTATTAATTAAAAATGAAACCGAAGAAAGCCGAAAGAAAACCAGACCGAGCCATTCGCTGGAGTCATTTTAGCTGAGCCTGACTCTCAACTTGACTCTTCCCTGAACCAGCCGAGCTAGAGAGAGAGAGAGAGAGAGAGCCAGCCTTTTTGCCCTAGCTCCTCTCCTCCGTCAAATTCGCCGACGATATCGACCGGATCCCTCGCCGTAACGGATCTCTCATATCGGCGGACTTTCGACTCGTGGGTCTCCCGAAGCTCATACCCGCTTCTCTCTCTCTATCCCTTAGATCGGCTCAGAGATCCAGCGCCGATCCTCCCTCTCTGTGGCTTCTGTCTCTCCTTTCCCTCCAAAATCAAAATATTCACTTCTCTTGCAACGGTTTTTCTCTCTCTACGGATCGTTTTGGGTACGTCTCTCCTTTCTCGCCACCTCTGCTCACATCTAGTACAAAGCTCTTGTTTGATTCGATTGTTCCTCCTTTGCAATGTTTGTAACAATTATTGAATTGCATCAAATACCCTTTTGCTTGTTCTGAAAATTTCCTAGGTTTCTTCGACTTATAGTTGAATCTAAGACTGAAACTTCAAAGGGACAAAGAAGCTTGGAATCAGATGGAGTGGAATGTAAACAACGCTTTCAAAACCTACAAAGGTAATGCATTGAGCCTATAATTTCCGACAAAGTATGAAACTTGATTATCTGATTATGATGTTCAGTGCGTGTTGGTTTTCGGTTGCGAGACTACAACCACTTATTGATCATTTCTTTGTGGCTGCTTCTTTTGATGTAGAAATGGAACCAAAAGCCATGATGGATATCACACTTGTTCCACACTCTGATCCCATTGACATCGGATTAGGCTCTTCTGAGAAACCAAACACTGTTCCCCCTAAGCGTAAGAAGACAATGACATCAGTGTATCTTAAGTATTTTGAGACTGCACCAGACAGCAAAACTCGCAAATGCAAATTCTGCGGACAAAGCTATTCCATAGCAACAGCCACTGGTATTGTTATATCTCCTCTCAAGTCCATACTTTTTTTATTGTATGAGTGTTTCATTCTACCTTCAAAATTTGTTGTTTATGTTATGTTTTCCTCTTTCAAGGTAATCTTGGAAGGCATCTGAATAACAGACATCCAGGCTATGATAAGGCAGCAGATGTTGTCACAAGCTCCGTACCACAGACACCACCAGTTGTTGTAAAACCGTCACAATCCCAGTCGAAAGCACCGCAACTCGATTATGATCATCTTAACTGGTTAGTTCTCAAGTGGCTCGCTTTGTCATCACTTCCTCCCACCACTGTAGACGAAAGATGGTTGGGAAACTCCTTCAAGTTTCTCAACCCGGCCGTGCAGCTATGGCCGGCTGAAAAATATAAAGCCGTACTCCATGAGGTGTTCAGAAGCATGCGGGGAGATGTAAAGACATCCCTGGGGCATATCCAATCCAAAGTCTCAATCACCCTAAGTTTCTGGCATTCATATGAAAACATTTTCTATATGAGCGTAACGGGCCAGTGGATAGACGAAAATTGGTCCTCTCATAGATTGCTACTCGACATATGCCGGATTCCTTATCCCTCTGGGGGTTCTGAGATCTATAACTCACTTTTGAAAGTCCTTAAGATATATGCCATTGAAGATAAGGTACTGTGTTGTACACATGACAACAGCGAAAACGCTATACACGCTTGTCATAGCCTGAAGGAGTATTTTGATGGTCAAAAGGTCTTGCCTTTCTGCTACATTCCATGTGCTGCTCAAACTCTGAATGATATCATCGATGAGGGCTTCGCAACTATAAAGCCTATAATCTCAAAGATCAGAGAATTCACACAAGAGTTAAACGCGTCGATGGAGCTATCAGATGATTTCATTCAGATGACAACAGCTTATCAAGAAGGCAGCTGGAAACTTCCCATCGATGCTTCATCTCGTTGGAGTGGCAATTACCAGATGGTCAACATCTTGTGCAAGGTGAGCTTTCGATAACTTAAACCCTCAAGTCACCAACGCTTTGAGATCTCTATATATTGGTGCAGGCTTGTAAGTCCTTGGACTCGGTGATTAGGAAAAACGAGGATGCTATAGAGAACAGGGTGATGTTGAGTTCTGCAGAGAAGAACGCAGTGACCATTGTCCACAATTACTTGGATTTAGACTCGTTTCACAAAACGACTAATGATATGTGCACGAACAAGGATCTCACGGTCGGTCTAGCTCTGCTCTTCATGGATAACATATCCGAGATGATTACGACTTGCCAAAAATCGTGCCACAACCCAGACTGGCTAAGAACTTGTGCTGAAAACATGTCCCAGAAGGCAAGAAGCTACAACACACAAGTGTGCAACGTGTTCACTTACATTACAGCCATTCTTGACCCACGCATCAAAACAGAGTACATTCCAGAGACGATAAACCTCGAGAGCTATATAGATGAAGCAAGAGCACATTTCATTCGTAACTATTCTTCTCCTCATTTCACATCTTCCCTGACCAACGGGTACCGTCCTCAAGACATTGACGAAGGAGGAGGAGGAGGAAATATCTCATTTGCAGAGGAAATTGCTAGAAGGAAAAGAAGGGGAAGTATGAGTAACAGTGTTGTTGATGAACTGACTCAATACTTATCAGAGTCTATAGTCCCGATGCAGACCGATGTGTTGGATTGGTGGAAGGCAAACAGCGGAAGATACACGCGACTTTCCAACATGGCCCGGGATTTCCTGGCGGTTCAGGCGACTTCTGCTGCACCCGAGGAGATATTTTGCAGTAAAGGTGAAGAGATGGGTAAGCAAAAGTATTGCATGCCACATGATAGCACACAATCTGTTCTTTGTATCAGATCATGGATTGAAGCTGGTATGAAACTGAAGTTCAAGTCCACTGAGATCGACTATGAGCGGTTAATGGAATTAGCTGCCACCGTGGCCTCTGATAACTCTGCAGGCAAGTCTAGACAAGAATCAGCATAGCATAAGTGAGATTATTTTTAGTGTTTGTACTACAGAGATTAGTTGTGATTTTGTAGTCTTCTCTTAGCATTGAATTGTGCATGTTATTATGTTATCTCTGTATCAGTTGTTAGATGATTCATCATTGTTAAGAGTTGGTTCAGTTTAAGCCAATCTTGTAACTGTTTTAACTGTATTCCTCATTTGATTACCATGTTAAAGAAAAGAAGAAAACATGAAGAATGTAATGGGGTTCATTTCGGTTGAACCAATTTATGCCGTAAACAACTTTAAACTGGTCGAATTTAAACTTAGTATTTGGGTTATTTTTTAAAAAAAACTACTGTATAATTTTTCGAAAAGCCCAACATTGAATTTTGAATGGTTTTGATTTCGTATTTCATAAACTGGTTAATCCAAATAGAAACAAGTCAGAGACCGGACTATAGTCAATCATATCAGCTCAACAGATTGGTAACACTAGATCAACATTTTTCTCTTGTTTTGTGTGTGATAGCACTAGATCAACTCTTTCACAAAGGCTAATGGATAAAAGTATTCGTTCAATCTGAATTCGCTGGAAAATAAACACTATGTTGATTGTTGACTAATTAGTAACTAATGGGTTATGTCTAGATAAAAGAGTGGAAATTTATTGTACGAAATCAAGACCACATTATCTCTTTATTCGTTCCTCATATTTTTTATTTCTTGGCATGATCGATTTCGATATGTCCAAGTCCAGTGTTTGAGTGACCAAGTTGCTGTTTAATTTATCTAATTCAAGTACGACTACTTTTGTATAATTACCCACCTTCCTCGAATTTTCAATTCTATGTTTCGTCGCTATTTCTTGTAAACTTTGTCGTCCAGTGAATTTTAAAAATATTTTGAATTTAACCAAAACAAAATTATTATTAACATTTCAGTCGTACTTAGAAAAGTCTCGCACTCCAACTTTTACAGTTGAATACATTCTGACAACGACACGTTCCTTTTGTGGTTTTCAATTTTTATTTGTTGCCATCCCGTAGAAATCTTTTTATGTTTTTCACTAATTTGATATATGTTCCATGTTTATCTTTAAGAATTTGTTTTACTCTTGTTTTATTGGTAAAAAAAACTCCCTTTGCTATAGTAAAAAATTAATAAGTTTTTCAATTAAATCTAGGTTTTATTTCCCGGAAAAAAACTCTAAATTTATAAATCAAAGTCACTATAAACATTTTAAAAGAAAAAAAATTATAAAAAATCATCTGCGCAGTATAATTGATAGATAGAATTGTTTGTTATAGATTTCTGTAATGCTGATAGATTGTCGCTCGTAGAAACCATCTATAAAATAATATATTATGTTTCTATATTGTGAAAATAATTCATCGCCGTATCAAACTTTAACAAAATCATCATCATCTGTAATAAAATAATTCGAATTAAAAATATTTTTCTCAGTAATGTATGAAAAATATAATGTTTACTTTTGTCAGCCAATTCGATGAATTTTCTTTTTCATCATGTCTGATCCGTTTAGTCAAAACAAATATCTCCAAATATCTAAGAGAAAATTCAACGGGACTATAATTCAGTTGGTGTTCCAAATCTTTCGGCGCCGTATTATAATTCTTGAATAAACTTAGATTTTTGCATGGAAAAACATAATAATTATACCCCTAATTATATGCAGTTTTGTACTGCATATTTCGTTTATAAAAATAATTGGGTAACTAGCTATTTACCAGGATTACTATGTTACATTCATATTATTTTTGGCTTACTTAAATTCACTACTCTTATATAAAATTTCTTTGTCCTGTTTATTTAAATTATATATTTTGAGATTTTCACACATTTGAATTGTATATTTATGTAACAAATCTAATGTCTTTTTTTAATCATCTAATGTCGATCCATTGACTAATTTTTTTAGTATAATTGGTATGGATAATTTAAAAAATTAAACACTGAGTTTATATATAAGAAAACTGAAACATAATTTTTGTAAAACAAAAAACTTAGAAAACATATTTTTTAGAAAATAAGGAGGAAATATATGAATCAGAAATGGCGGTCTTAATCCATTCTAAGAAATAGAAATGGCGGTCTTATGCATGGAGAAATATGATATTATTATTTGCTGACAATTTGAGGAAAATATAATTATTTTGTGAAAGATGGAGACGTCTATCCCAAAATTCCACTGACAAAGTTCTTGCATAACCAATCAAAATGGGCCATTTGTCAATCACCTACAAAAGACGTCATTGGCGGCAGCCACACGTACTGCCACAACCCACAAGCACGCATAAATAAATACGGTGCCTCCTCTTCCTCAAAGTTTCTCACTTTGCAAGTGAAACAAACATCTCTTAGAAAAAAAGATAAAGATTCTCTCTTTAAATTCTCTCTCTCCCTCTCCCTCTTGTGGTAAGAAAACAGAGCAAGCAAAGATCTCTATCTCTCTCTCCTTGTGCTCTTGTTCATTCAATGTTAAAACGATCTCGAGTATCGCAAAAAAGCAAGATGTCTATCCGAAAGATCTACCGATGTCTGAATTCTTTAATCAAAAGATCATGTGCTCAATCTCTATGATCATAAGCCACGTTTCACACTCTGTTCTCAGGTTTTCATTTTTTTGTTTCTCTTTGTTCTCTGTTTCACATGAGAACAACCCCTTGAATTCGATCAAGAAAGCTGAGATTCTTTGAAGAATCAAGAATCAATATACAAGATTCCACAAGTCAAGAATCAAGAATGGTGCGAACACCATGTTGCAAAGCTGAATTAGGGTTAAAGAAAGGAGCTTGGACTCCCGAGGAAGATCAAAAGCTTATCTGTTACCTTAACCGCCACGGTGAAGGTGGATGGCGAACTCTCCCAGAAAAGGCTGGTAATTATTTTTATTATTATATGCATTCCGTCTTTTTTGAATATTCAATGTTTGGCCTTTCTTGGTCGTTTTTGCTCATAATATTTATTTTAAAAATGATTCTTGAAATGGTATAGGACTCAAGAGATGTGGCAAAAGCTGCAGACTGAGATGGGCCAATTATCTAAGACCTGACATCAAAAGAGGAGAGTTCACTGAAGATGAAGAACGTTCTATCATTTCTCTTCACGCCCTTCACGGCAACAAGTTAGTCTCCCTCTTTCTCTGTATATATTCTCCCATTGTTCTTTTTTCCATGTTTTGAAAGGCTGTGTTTTAACTACAAAATAAAAGTATTTCTTTTTGTCACACCATTTTAGCGTTTTTATCAAACATTTTTTGAAATTGTAAATGAGCCGAGTAGATTTTTTTTTTTTTTTCACCACATGGCTGTGTTTGTCCGTTTGCGTCTGTAATTTTAAAAAGTAGGCTTTTACGTTTCGAATTTACAAATAAGGTTTGCCAAAAGGAATGAAAAGTTTTGTGTTGTTTACAAATAAAAAAAAAAAAGAACAAATTTTAACTATTCAGAAAAAAATAAACAAAAAATATTGTGACTTTGAAATTTCGTGAGTTGTATATTATTATGTGATCATGAGTCATGACCAATGCCTAATGGTGTAGTCTTATCCTGTTTAATCAGATGGTCTGCTATAGCTCGTGGATTACCCGGAAGAACAGATAACGAAATCAAGAACTACTGGAACACTCATATAAAAAAACGTTTGATCAGGAAAGGGGTGGATCCGGTTACACAGAATAGCTTGATCTCCGGCAGAGGCAAATCAGAAAATCCCCCGGGGTTTCCACAGAAACAAAAGGTTATTCAGACAATAACCAGTGATGATGATCTTGATGATGAGAAGGTGAATAATAACAACAAGAAGTCGGGAGTATCATCGGCTAGGTTCTTGAACAGAGTAGCTAATAGGTTCGGAAAGATAATCAATCATAGTGTTCTGTCTGGGATTATCGGAAGTGGTGGCCCACTTACTACTACTACTACTAGTACTACAAGTGTCACCGTTGACTCTGAATCAGATAAGTCAACGAGCTCTTCCTTCACACCAACCTCGAATCTTCTCTGCCAGATGCCCGTTCACGACAACGGTAACGTTACGTCGTCTTCGTCCACGTTCTCTGATTCATCCGTTAACGATCCTTTATTAATGTACTGTGATAATAAGGATAATATGGGATTCTCAAGATTTCTGAGTGATGAAGATTTCATGATGTTGGAAGAGTCTAGTATTGAGAACACAGAGTTCATGAAAGAACTTACGAGGTTTCTTGAAGAGGATGAAAATGACGTCGTCGACGAGGTGACGCCGGTCTATGAATATCAAGACATTTTTCAAGAGATTGATCACTATTTTGCATGAGCGAATCGATCCGATGCAATGATCTTTTTAAGATAATTTATATATATACCATATCGATGGATTGTTACCATGATGATGATGATGATAACAATATAGAATAATAACGATGATAATGAACCATGCATGTCGCTTGGATTGTCATATATGCGTGTCGTTGTCTTGTTTCTTTTATTATCTTGTACGTTTGCCCTCAAGGTCTCAAGTGTGTTTCGTTTGAAATGGATAAATTAATGGTGATGTAATAATAAGTTTGACGAGTGTATTGCATTAGTATTCATAACTTGCGAACATGCAAAACAAGTATCAGTAAAACATTATAAGTTGTGACTATCCAAAAATGAAGATTTACGTTATTTTTACACAACTACTATTATTTTATTTCTTACGGGTTGTGTTACACTTTTGCATTGATAGGTAGCTCATGGGCTAAGAGTCTTAAGACTAATGCATCGAGCATGTGATAAGCATTTTTTATATATAAAAAAAGATTGATAATCATGTATAAATACAGTGATATTCTCTATTTTTATTTCTCACTTTAGATATGCCCGATCGGACCTTCATTCAATCAATATCTGCAATCATTCTCTAATCTGAGCGTCAATCCTTTTTATGTCTTCCCCCAAGATAGCTTAAATAATGTCACTCTAATGAGATATGAGACCGACATAAAGCAAGTGACCATTCTTTGAACGTTCCAAGGAGTAAAGATAAGAAGAAATGCATTATCATTAGACCCTTTTGAAAGCACCATGCAGAAACAAAAGTAAAAGCTGAGATTTGTTTCAATAATATTATTTTTAAAAAAGTTGAATGATGATTTGCTTTCCAAGATAGTGTTTTCTCTCTATAAAAGTGATACTATAAAAAAAACATTAAAATAGTATATTCAGGATATATATGTATACAAATATTACAATAATTAATGATAACAAATTCTGATTGAAATATCCATAATTTTTTTTTTTAGAAATATATTACTCTTTCTGTTCATAATTATTTGATGTTTAAGATTTTTACATACAGATTAAAAATTCATTTAATTTTTATTTTTTCTACACTAAAAATATTATGTATAACTCATTTAAATATAATTCAGCAAATAAAAAGATAATCTGCAGAATATAAAAGGTTAAAAACAATAAAAATTTATTAAATTTTGTATTGAAAAATAAAAACATCAATTATTTAAGAAAAAAAAACTTCCTAAAACATTAAATAATTATTTGTATAAATTTGTAGACAAAAATGTTAGTGTGTTTTTTTGGAAAATGTTTTGGATAAATATCTACGAAATAATTAGGACTGTTAATTTATATTGGAAACAATATATAGTTATATACTAACTTACTAATGATGATCAACCTGCCCAAAAAACTGATATAAAAACCTACACCCACTTTTCCACTAGGCCTAAGTGGAAATTACAAGAATGGTACTTAGCAAATGAGAATTTGTCCCCGAAAAAAAAAATATATACATGAAAATTTATAATATTACCTTTTAATTTAAAGATCTTGGAAGTTTAATTTCAGATATCTGATCAATCGTTTTTTTGGCATATGAAATCAACGGGTGATAATATCACACTTAAAATCATAGGCTCAACTGTTGTTAATAGTACATCAAAAGTCAAAACTTACATTGTTTTTGTCAAGTGATATTGAAAAGTATGATTTTAACGAAAACAAAATAATTTCTCATCCAAGATTTCATAGTAATGTTTCTGCAGAAAAATGATATAAAATGTAGAGTAATATCATTATCTACCATTAAATATTATCGAAATTAGTTTTAGCCTATGATTTTACAAAATGATCTTTAAATTTGTTCACGTGGTTGTACTTTACAATCATGTACACTACGTAAACAACCGGGCCATCTAATTTATTTTTCTAATTTTCAGCTTTTATCTGTTACTCGATTTAAAAGGTTAGTATGGTGTGGCGGAGATAGTTAATGAAGAAGGGGTCATTTGACCCCTATACATTTCTAAAAATATTATATAAACTTGTATATTTTTTAAAAAAGAATAGGTAAAATAGTAAAAATTTAGCTTAATAACTCCTTTAAAATTTGTTTAGAATATATTATAAAATTAAATTGACCTCAATTGGCTAACTCGGAATAATATTTAACAATTGCAATATAGTTAACAATTGTCCAGAATCAATCCATCTTATTTTAGTAGTGCAAGAGCATGTGGTGGGTCGTCACAGGTCATTGCCGGTAATGGCCGTTGGCACTCTATTGCAGTGACACATTCTTGCGTCTGACTCTTCACCAAACAAATTATGATAAAATAGTGAACTTTATTATTATTTTTCCAAATCATAAACTTTCAAGGTTGGCTGCCTTTAACTTGACACTATTTTTCTGTTCAAACTTCAAAGTATATAGGCGAAAGATAATAATTAAACAAAATATGCTCGAAAATAGAAATATGCTCTCCAGATATGCTCGTGAGTCGTGACGTTTTGGCGTTTTTCCTGTCCAACTCGGACTCAGTCACTAACTTGACGTCTATTATATTTCAATTATATATATATTTTTTAAATGTAACATTTATTGAACGAAAGGTCAATACACATATGTTGACCATTTTTATTAACATTGATAATTGAAAATTTAGAAAACTAACAAATATAATTTTTTAAAACCATAAATATCTCGACCAAAAAAAATCATTACTTTTTTCTGATGTTATAATGTTTTATCATTTGTATTATAGAAAATAAAGTTTTTTTGGTTATTGGTTGAATTATGTTAAGATAAAATAATGAATAGCTTTTAATTCATATGAAATACTTGAATTTGAAACATGATTTTTTTTTTTACGATAAACAATGTCACTAATTTCAAAATGAAATTGCAAAGTTATACATATAATCTTAAATATTAATTATTTTTAAATAGAAGAAGTAAATGTTAATAAGATGGTCAAATAGTGCCTAGCATCTAAAATTAGTGCATTCAAAAGATACATATATTTTTTGCTTAAGACCTTATTATATAAATATAAATCCGAATGATATTATCTCTAAATGTTTATTTTTCACCGATTAATTTTACCAAAACTGTGACATTTAAAGTTCGAATATTTTATCTACAACCTGATTGGCTAAACCTGATTGGCTGATTCTTAGAACACATAACAGATATGATATTATGTACATTATAATAATTGCTTCGAATTTCCCATAATCAATGCTTATTCGACGATAAAAGAGAGCACATGATATTTATAAGTTAAAATGTGATAACTCTTTTCTGAATCAATCGGTACTGTTATTTAATTTAGTAGGTATTTAAAGGAAAATGCGATTTGATGAAAAGATGCAGCCACCATCCAATGGCTTCGTCAAAACAAAGTATTTCTATTTTTCGACGAAAAAAAAAGTTGTTTCTATTTTTCGACCCGTAAAAAAAAGTGTTTCTATCTCCTCCGACCTTTTTTTTCCAAGTGTTACACATAAATTAATTGTCCATTTAAAGTATAACATTTCAGGTGATAATTATAGATTTAAAGCTCGATGGCTCGATCCACTACAAAGAAATTAATACTATCCACTACTATAAAATTAACATGTAGCAATTTTTTAATTTAAAAAGCTTATCTTTTCTTTTGACAACAACTCACTAATCTAAACTACTTATTAGTACATGCCTTGAAATGTGTGATTACTGATTTAACATCAATTACAGCAGATGTCAATTTGTTTGATGTTAGTTTACAAAAACTGATATGAATCATTGATAGTTTGGATCTTTTGAAAAATCAATACAAAAATATGATTCCATATTAGTTAAATGATTATTGACGTATATACTTTTAAAAAGTCAATTAGAAAAAGATGCCAAAGCACGATCAGATCAGAAAGATGCGGTTTCATGTAAAAAAAACATTTTATTTGGCCTTTCCTGGACCTATTCCTCCGAAACCACAAATTCATAATGGGCGTGTTAATTCTTGATCAATTGCTACAGAGCACTTTAAAAGCATAAAGGAAACCGAGCAGGAGAGCTAACAAAAATAATGGGCGTCTTCTTGCATGTGGACCGGACTGCAAGTAAATCATTCAGTTCGTACGGAAATTCGAAGCATATAAGAAGACAGTAACTTCATATCACCACCAAGTTAAAGAACTGGTCGCGACTTTGGAGATTTTGAAAAACAAGAGTGAAGAGTTTCGTATGCTGTAACATATTTCCTTGTGAACAAATTAATGATGGAATAATGCATTGAACATTTTAGAGACCCGAATATGGGAAAGACAAAAATCAGAATTTTGTGGGATTCTTTTGCATGAAAAGATAAATAATAGATTTGTATATTTGGTAGCTAGTAAAGAAGCTTGCTAAGGAGAAGCATCGTGTAACCTGCTTATGCAATTTTATTGAGCATGTATTTTATAAAATGGCGATGTTTTATGTAATGTTCAGAATATACAAATTGTAAGGTAAAGTGAAAATGACGTTAAAAATGCATTATCCAAATAGTGTCACAACGACGACGACACTAGCTTTTGTTTTGGTAACCTATTTTTGGAGTTGATTGATGTGAGTTGTGTTACTCTTAACAAATTTCGTATAATGTGGTCACTTGTCAGTTAACAGTCCATTCTTTTAACCACTTAGGTCATTTGATTCCTTCCTTATTTGGGAAGAAAAGCCCAAAGCTCGAATGCGAAAAGAAAACACCGAAATGGGACCACTGGCCCATTTGTTTCCATCCATAAACGACCCGTTTAGAAGCGAAGACAGAGTTGGCAAAGACATACTAATTGTTAGAGACTTTATAGAATTGTTCGAGAATTTATAGAATTGACAGTAAAATTTTTTCTTGGTCTGAAAAGAAAGAACAATGTCTTCTTTTACAGCATAATAATTTTTAATTTTTCATTTGTGACATGATATTTAAGAAATGTGAACTATGATTTATGAATTTAGCTATGCTATGATGCTATATTTTTGTTTGTGAACAAACACAAATCTAAATCTAAATCCAGCGACCAAGCGATGGGGTGTTGATAGACATTTTATCTACTTACGGTCTCATTTGTAAACTTTCTAAAATTTAAGAAAAATGTTAGCCAAACGAAAAAACAATTTATTTTTTATCTACGGTCATTTAATAGCCAATAAAATTAGATCTGGAAAAATAACATTTTTTGGACAGTGAAGCAAAAAAAGAAAAGAAAAAGAGGACAGTGAAGAAATCATTCGATGCACTCAAAGAAACGCGCAAAGGAAGCGAAAGTCAGATCACAATCACAAACGAGCAAATTCACTTCCTCACTCTCTATTAGATTCTATACTTTGGATCTCTGTCGGCAGAATTTCGAATTCCTTGTCTTCTGCCCGAATCTGGGTTGTGTAAAATCGATTCAGAATCTGTGAGGAAGAGAAAAACCGTGGAGGGATTGATTCGGCGTGTGGAGTAGCGAAAGATGAGGCGGCGGCCGGCGGATCACCGGCGGCTAGCTAGAAGGAGGTTGTCGAGTTGGATATGGCTTCTCCTTGGTTCTTTCTCTGTCGCTGGATTGGTTCTCTTCATGGTTCAGCATCATCATCATCAACAAGATCCACCTCAGCTAATAGTTGTATGTCTTCCTCTCGTTTTATCCTTATCCCTGGGGTCTTGTATTCGATCTCGATGCTTTTTTTTTGTTTTTTTCCTTTCTCTTGAAAGCAATGGATTGATTGCTTGCTGAGATTTATCTTTTGCTCTAATGATCATCCTTCCTGAAAAAAAGTGGATCTTATTGATTGGTGAATCCACTGGAATTGTAACCTACTTTCATTATGCTTAGAATCCTTATTCGACCGGACTCTAAACTATAGAATAAGTGAAGTTGCTGAGTTCAAGTCTCCCAATGAACCCATAACCAAATGTTAGTTTAGGCAAGACTGTTGGATGTGGAGCTATGTTTTCAAACTCTACTGAAAAAATTTCATATTTGGTTATTGGTGTTACTTAAAGGTGCCATTTTTTGTTTTGAAGATCTACTTGGATGTTTCGTGAATTACTTGCCTGAGAATATGGTGGCTGTTGTAGTTTCCTACTGACATTGTTTGTTGGTTTTGGGTTTTATATGCTCTTAGGTGCGAGTGCAAAAGCTCATAAACAACGCATTTCTCATGTCTGATTTGTAGATAATCTCTTGCATGTCTGAAATTTCTTTGTTAATATTAATACCTTTAGGTTTACTGTTTATGGTCAATTTATATACAAGAAAAAGCCGGGAGTCGATTGGCGAATATTTGAGAGATGAAAATGTTGAATGCGCTTTTATGCCATAGCTTAGCGTTCCAGATGGGAAATTGGTGATGTTCATGTTAACTTCATTTACTAAATTATTGTAGCTGGATGAGTGTTCATAGTTGATTATTTCCAAGTTTTTAAAACATAGAAACATATTGGAAATGCTACAGGGGAGACAATCTAAGTACGAGAATTTTGTTGAGATTTCTTAATCTAGCCAGAAGTTGAGAACATAAACTTTTCTTTCATAGAGTATATGAAAGGGGAATATGGACACTCTGTTCTTCATCATATGAATAGTGGTTTTTTATTTATATGTTTGTGTCTTTGGAGAACTTACTCTGATCTTCTTGTCTTTAATAGGAGAGAGACACAAGAATCGAGAACGTATCTCCTCCCCGCTTAAACTTCACGGAAGAGGTAACAAGTGCTTCCTCGTTCTCTAGGCAGTTAGCAGAGCAAATGACGCTCGCCAAGGCTTATGTTTTTATAGCCAAAGAGCACAATAATCTTCATTTAGCTTGGGAATTGAGTTCTAAGATCAGAAGTTGTCAGCTTTTGCTCTCAAAAGCAGCAATGAGAGGTCAACCTATTTCATTAGATGAGGCAAAACCCATTATTAGTGGTCTATCAGCTCTTATCTACAAGGCACAAGATGCACATTATGACATAGCCACCACAATGATGACCATGAAATCTCACATCCAAGCCCTTGAAGAGCGAGCAAACGCAGCTACTGTTCAAACCACAATATTTGGGCAATCGGTTGCGGAGGCACTACCAAAGAGCCTCCACTGTTTGATGATCAAGCTCACATCTGACTGGTTAACTGAGCCATCACGCCATGAACTGGCAGATGAGAATAGAAACTCACCTAGACTTGTTGACAATAACCTCTACCACTTCTGTATCTTCACGGATAACGTGATTGCCGCCTCCGTTGTTGTTAATTCAACTGTCTCTAATGCTGATCACCCGAAACAGCTTGTGTTCCACATAGTGACGAATCGAGTGAGCTACAGAGCTATGCAGGCTTGGTTTCTAAGTAATGACTTCAAGGGCTCAGCTATAGAGATCAGGAGCATAGAAGAATTTTCTTGGTTGAATGCTTCATATTCTCCTGTTGTTAAACAACTGCTGGATGCAGATTCAAGAGCTTACTATTTTGGGGATCAGACAAGCCAAGAAACGAATTCCGAGCCAAAAGTGCGGAACCCAAAGTACTTGTCATTACTGAACCATCTCAGATTCTACATCCCTGAGATCTATCCGCAGCTAGAAAAGATCGTGTTCCTAGACGACGATGTTGTTATCCAGAAAGATCTGACTCCACTCTTCTCCTTGGATCTGCATGGAAACGTCAATGGAGCTGTGGAAACATGTCTTGAAGCCTTTCACCGATATTACAAGTATCTAAATTTCTCCAACCCACTCATCAGTTCAAAGTTCGACCCACAGGCATGTGGATGGGCTTTTGGTATGAACGTTTTCGATCTGATCGCTTGGAGGAAAGCCAATGTAACAGCTCGCTACCATTACTGGCAAGAACAGAACGTAGAACGAACGCTTTGGAAACTGGGGACACTCCCTCCAGGTCTATTGGCTCTCTATGGTCTCACTGAGCCGCTAGACAGAAGATGGCATGTCTTGGGTTTAGGTTACGATGTGAACATCGATAATCGTCTGATCGAAACAGCGGCTGTGATACACTATAATGGCAACATGAAGCCTTGGCTAAAGCTGGCCATTGCTAGGTATAAACCTTTCTGGTTAAGATTTTTGAACTCGAGCCATCCTTATTTACTAGATTGTGTCACAGCTTAAAGGCAGTAGACGTTGAGAGTTGAGACTAATCCATATCAGAAGATTCTTGATTTCATATACACTTTGAAGATTTTTTGTTTTGTTTTGTTTTGGAATATTGTAGATCTCAGAAAGTTTCAGGTTCAGGTTTTCTCTGAAGACTGTTGTTATCTTTTTATGGTCTGAAGAGAAATTTATAATCACACATTAGAGGGTCCGTAATGTATTTATGATTGAATAGTTTACAGGGATACTTATTTTTTGGCAAGTTTTTATTGTTATCTTTATTTTTAGTTTTCAAGGATGGATAAACTTTTTTGCTTACGCTGTAGAATTCTCTGTTGCTAATGAGTATGTATTTTTTCCAAATAATCAACAGTTTTATAGCAATTTCATCTTTCTATTCCATTGATCAGAACAAAAGAGAGAAACTAGTACTTTGGTAGAAAATGCATCACTACAAACCAATGATCAAATTCTAGTTAAAAGTTTATATGCAACAACATGCCATGCTATTACTTGCAACGAAGAAAACTTAGGAATATATCTTTAATATACACGAGGTTTTTTATAAAAAATATATATAATTTCAGAAACACAACCACATAGTCACCAAACCAGCAACTGTGAATCACATATAACACGTTGTTGGTAAAATAATATCCTCCTCACCAGTCACCACCAACCTACTTATAAATTCCTCACAACAAACTATATATCATAGGAACATAACGAACGAGTAATCAATCACTTGATTTACATTATCAAAATAATAGAATAACGAACCTCCCTCTCTATATAATGGAATCCAAACCCTTAAACGACGTCGTGGCATCAAAGCCGAATCACGACTCAACCGAAACAGCATCATCGCCATCGCCATCAGAATTCGAGAAGAAGCAGAAACATTACCAAGAAATCATCGCCACGCTTCCTCACGAAAATGGCTGGCGACCAAAAGACCCGTTCGTCGAGTACGGTGGTCACTGGTGGCTACAACCTCTCCTCGAAGGTTTACTCCACGCCCAGTCATTCTTCAAAGCTCGACCCAATGACTTCTTCGTCTGCAGCTACCCGAAAACCGGCACGACTTGGCTCAAAGCTCTAACCTTTGCAATCGCGAATCGCTCTAGGTTCGACGATTCCACAAACCCTCTTCTCAAACGCAACCCGCACGAGTTCGTGCCTTACATCGAAATCGATTTCCCCTTTTTCCCAGGCGTTGATGTCCTTAACGACGCAGGAAACACGCTCTTCTCCACTCATATCCCTTACGATCTCTTGCCCGAATCGATCGTGAAATCAGGTTGCAAGATGGTTTACATCTGGAGAGACCCTAAAGACACGTTTGTGTCGATGTGGACTTTTGCTCACAAGGAGAGATCACAACAAGGAGCTCTCATCAGCCTCGAGGAAGCTTTTGATAAGTATTGTCAAGGTTTGTCTGCGTACGGTCCTTACCTTGATCATGTTTTAGGGTACTGGAAGGCTCACGAAGCAAACCCAGATCAGATTCTGTTTCTCAAGTACGAGACGATGAGAGCTGATCCATTGCCGTACGTGAAGAGGTTGGCTGAGTTTATGGGGTATGGATTCACGGAGGAGGAAGAGGAAAAAAGGGTTGTTGAGAAAGTTGTGAAGCTTTGTAGCTTTGAGAATCTGAAGAATCTTGAAGCTAACAAAGGGGACAAGGATAGAGAAGATCGTCCTGCTGTTTATGCCAACAGTGCTTATTTCAGGAAAGGGAAAGTTGGGGATTGGCAGAATTATTTGACTCCGGAGATGGTGGCTCGCATTGATGGTTTGATGGAGGAGAAGTTTAAAGGAACTGGTTTTCTTTCTTCAGCACCATGAATGATCCCTTTTTTTTGAGTTTCTTTTCCAAGCGATGACTGTCTGATTCTTCTGATCCTAATTATGCTGGTTTGTGGCATAAGTTGCTTCATTGAATGAATCTGTATTGAAGCGTTACTGTTGTTTCTGAGTGTGTTTATCATTATATGTATCGATTTTTCTTATTGGTCATAAATTAATGAACTTTTCTTTCAGAGATGCAAAGGTTCTTGTGCAGAAACCGATAAGAAAAAACAGAGCAAAGTCTGTTTTCGCACCAAGAGCAAAAGGGAAGAAACATATCAGTACTAATTGTGTAAACACTTACTTATTGAGAATGGTTTGGACAAGAACAATCTGGCGAGATTGTTATAAGTAAAATCTAATGATGATTTGATAATGGTTTGGACAAGAACAATCGCTATGCATGCTTTGTTGTTTTACAGAGAGATGGATTGTTGTTTAGTTGAAAATAACATTAAACCATTTATACAAAAGATAACATTGTGGACTCATGTGAAGCAAATACCATCAATTTTGTTCAATGTACATCCATTGTTTTGTTCAAGTCAGCATGGTATGGTATGTTTTTAAAATTAGAAATAGGGTCCCTAGTTACTACTTTTGTTCTCGGAATGCTTGCGGTAAAATAGTTTCTCTTTCCAAAAGTACTAATTTCGAATTTTGTCCTATTCTATTCTGCACTTTGAAAAGACAATAGTAAAAACGATAAAACTAGAAGGTGCAGCATCATCTTTCCAAAACATTAAGAAAGCTTTTACACGAAAACATCAAAGTTGCATTCTCTGCACATTGATTCCCCTCTCTCTGTGTAAAAGCAAAATCGAATCCATTGAACAATACCCAGTAGTCCATATCCTGCACTTGAGCGCCAATTACCGATTTTCGGTGCATCACTTCCATCAAAAAGTTTGATCTTTTTTTTGTTCTCCTTGCGCGAAAGGTGTCGCCTTTTTTTATTTGAGCAAATTTGCTACTATTCAGAAGTTAAAAAAATGAATTCGATTTTCTCTCGTAGAGTCGTCGTCGACTCATATTCGCGTATCACCAAATTGCTTGCGAACCCAGCAGCTCATTCTCACCCGAATCATCACTCCTTCACTTCGCTCTACAGACCGAACCAGAACCGCCATTTTCGGACCCACTATCTTCCTCCGAGCCCGTCTTCTCCTCCCGCGAGCCGCTTTGACCCTTCTCTGCTATGGCGATCGGAGAAAATCCGTGGGTTTTTCACGAGCGCTTTAGGGAACAAAGCCGCGAAATTGGGAAATCTCGTGGAATCCAGAGTGTGGTTCGTCGGTTCTCAATTTCCCAAAAGGGGTTTCCAATTCGAGAGGTTCTCTGGGTTTCAAAGGCGTGGATGGTACTGTCCCTCATGAATCATCACGAAATTTCTTACAACATAATAAAGATTGTCGCTTGAAAAAATAAAAATTCCATTTTTCGTTTCATTTTGTGTGTTTTACCTTTGACAGGAACCATTGGCTTCAAGGACTATCAGCTAGCGACGTTGTTCTTGGATTAGTAATAGCTAATGCTGCTGTGTTTACGATGTGGCGAGTTTTCGACGAACGATTCATGATGAATAATTTCATGGTAAGACCTCAAAGCTTTCAACTTTAGATACAATTTCGTTCCAGTACATGCTTGTTTTGATACCTGATATGAAGAAATGGGAGCTAGATGTCTTTATATGAACTTGTGATATCATGATTGGTAAGGGCCCTTTATCATTCGCGAATCAATGACTTCTTTGTCATCTGAATGTTGTATCGATCGATCTTTGGGCAGATATCGCTGGACAATTTCACGAGTGGACGTGTACACACCCTGATAACTTCAGCATTCAGTCATATTGATGTTGGACATATAATCTCAAACATGATCGGACTCTACTTCTTTGGAACCAGTGTAACAGTTCTTTTCTCTTATGCTTTGTATTTGTTGAGTGGAGTACTGTTGAGCCTCTCACTGCTAGTTTTGTTTTGAAATGTTTTGATAAAGATAGTAAATTGTGTTCTTCAATTGATTACCTCTTATTTAGATCGCAAGAAACTTTGGCCCTCAATTCCTTTTGAAGCTGTACCTTGCTGGAGCGCTTGGTGGCTCTGTTTTCTACTTGATTCACCATGCTTTTCTGGCTGCGTCGTCACCCAAGGTATATACCAACCAGCATAGAAAAGTTTTAATTGTTTCCTTATATCTCATATCATGCTAGGTCCTCAAAGAAAAAAGTTTTGTACTTACCTTATATCTTGTGTGAGTGGCTTTACCTTTTTTTTATTGGGCGACTAATCATATGCGGTTGACAGGGCCAAGGAGCTTTCGGGAGGGATCCATCGAGAACTCCGGGACTGGTATGTGTTTGAATTTACTGGTGCATGGAGTGAAATTGAATATTTGGTTTGATTATCAGACCTCGAGACTTTTGATCCTAAGTTGACTCTAGACATCCTTGTCGATTCTACTTTCAACATGAATTTGACATAGCTAAAGATCCAATGTTCCGTACCTGTTGGATGTAAGTCAGAATGATTTGAAGAACTCATTTTTTGTATAAAAGGGTGCTAGTGGTGCCGTGAATGCCATCATGCTGCTCGATATCTTTCTTCACCCAACAGCTACTCTATACTTTGAATTTATCATTCCAGTTCCTGCAATGCTGCTTGTAAGTTCTTAACTCTCTGCCTCAAACATGTCAGCTTAAAGCCTCTCTTCCCAAGTCAACTAAAAATCACTCTTCTTTATTTTTAAGGGAGTCTTCCTGATAGGCAAAGACATTTTAAGGATAACAGAGGTAATGTTTTATTTGTCTGAGAATCTATTAAGACATAGCAAAAGTTCAAAACTTGTTGGGAATGGGAATAATTTGATGATGATTCCGAAGCAACCAACAAAAAATTTGGACATTGCAGGGGAACAGTAACATCTCAGGCTCGGCTCATTTGGGAGGAGCTGCAGTTGCAGCCATTGCTTGGGCTCGGATTAGGAGAGGTCGCTTCCGTTTCTAAACCTTTCGACCTGACCTTGCTTGGTTCTGGTCATCTTAGAGAAGAAACGTCTCTTCAAATGACTTAGCAACTTTGAGACCATATTGTGGCTCAAGATTATTAGATTTTCCTGTTTCTATTTATCCAAATTCCAAACAAATTTGGTCTGTCTTTAGTCTGATCCACCTTGAAAGAACAATCTTAGTTTGTTAATGTAGTTTTTTTTGTGCCGTCAAGATTGCATCATTGAAACATAAGTTATTGAAAAACTTTAACCAAATATGGATTAAGTATGGATTGTTTTCTGATCATACTACCAATAAGAGCATAAAATCAATATGACACAGCCACAAACACAAACTTTTTTTAAGTTTCTTAACTTTATTCATCTATATATGTAAATATGATCTATTTACATACGAGATTCAGTATTTAAGAAAAAAAGAAAAAGTAAACATTATCCTTAAGATCTAATGTAGATGATTTAGGTTTCTTTCAAACATGATTCCAATCACATAATTTTTTTTTTGAAAAAAAGTTATGGAGATCCTTGTAACGTATTTCCTTGAGCCTCGGGGCCCAATTCACTATTTTAGGAGTCTATAATCTACCAGTAGTTGATCGACACGTCATAAAATTATGCCACGTAATACGAAAAGCAAAGAAGGTTGCGCTTTGTCACTAAATCAGCAATCAAAAGTTTTTGTTTTCTCTTCCCCTGAAATTTTTTGTTTTCTTTAACTTATTTGTTTCCAATAGCAAAAAAAACCTAAGCAAAAAAGGAGCACCTTTGTCATCTGTAATCGGCATAAGAGCTATTTGGATTTCGGGTTTTCTTCCTCCTCCTCAAAAAAAAAAGCTTCCACTTTCCCGCACTTTTTTCACCCAACGGAAGAAATTTTCTCGCCCGGAAAATGAGGTGGGAAAAGGTCCGACAGCAACAGCAACAAGTGGGTCTCGGTGAGTCATATTCCGGGCCCGGAAAGAGGTGGGGGCACACTTGTAACGCCATTAAAGGAGGTAGCTTTCTCTACGTTTTCGGTGGCTATGGCAGAGATAATTGCCAAACCAATCAAGTCCATGTTTTCGACGCTGGTTAGTTTTTCTCGACATCGTCTCTGTTAAAATGGCGGGTTTGTTAAGATTAATTCCTATTTTGGACTTGTTTAATTTTTTTTTTTCAATTTGATATCTGTCACGATCCTTGTCATCTAGCTTTTTCTTCTTATATTAATCCTGCATGTGTGCGTTAGGATATGAAATTACACTCTCATGAGTTTCTTATCCGTCTGATTTTGGTATGAGAAATAACCCTTTTTCCCTATATGCACAATTTATATTGAAAGCCTTTGTCCTTTAATCCATTATGTCTCATCGTACTTGAATGATTACTGTTTGACCCTATTGAGGAAATGTTTTGTATTAATATGATTTTGAGCTGGTCTATTGTGGTTTACTTGCTCTCTCACTGTGGTGATCTTTGTTGCAGCAAAGCAGATATGGACTCAGCCAATAATCAATGGCACACCTCCTCCTCCTAGGGACAGTCACAGCTGTACAACAGTCGGCGACAACCTCTTCGTGTTTGGTGGTACTGATGGAATGAAACCTCTCAAGGATTTGTACATTCTAGATACTTGTAAGCGTTTTCTTTGTGTATTTCAAGCTTTCACTTCATCATGTTTGAAGAAGTCATTCGCAGTTGGTGTTTTTTTTTCCATTTGTGGTTATAGCTTCACATACTTGGAGATGTCCGAGTGTTAGGGGAGAGGGACCTGAGGCAAGAGAAGGTCATAGCGCCACGCTGGTTGGTAAAAGGCTTTTTGTATTTGGTGGCTGTGGGAAATCTTCTGATAGTAATGACGAAATCTATTATAATGACCTTTACGTACTTAATACAGGTACTGTTTTATACATGGCTTTCTTCAATTGGCATGTTAATCTTTTCCATATCATCATCTCGTATGCATTGAAAAGAAATGTTAGATAGATAAACTTACTCTGAAACAAATGGAAGTGCGAACCATAATTTTTATGTTGCCTTATTTTCGAGATATTGAATTACCTTTTTGTGCAAATTTTTCTTGGATGCAAGTAATTTAATCGACTTTACGCTTGTGTAGAGACTTATGTTTGGAAACGTGTTGATACGATTGGGAATCCTCCATCTGCTCGAGATAGCCACACTTGCTCATCGTGGATGAACAAAATCGTTGTTATAGGTGGTGAAGATGGGCATGACTATTATCTATCCGATGTTCATATCCTTGATACAGGTGGAAAAGCTTTTCTTAAGTTCATTTGTATTTAAATTTACTAGTGTATGTCATCTATCTGAGGTTTAATATAAGTTTTTTTTCCTCATTATTTTTATTTTGACCTCCAGATACATTCATATGGAAGGAGCTGAATACTTCAGGCCAATTGTTGACACCTCGAGCTGGTCATGTTACTGTTTCACTTGGGAGGAACTTATATGTGTTTGGAGGGTTTACGGATGCTCAGAATCTTTACGATGATCTATATGTGCTTGATGTCGGTATGTAAACTGAGACAATCATTCAATACCGAAGTTTAATACTTGTGAGGCAGATTAGTTTTGGTCCTTTCTCTCTGTAAAAGGAAGGACTTGCCCTAAATTTTTGTCCGGACTAAAGTTGTTGAGGCAAAGGGTTTTGGCTGAGCCATTGTAGCAACTTTCATGAGAAAGAAAAAAGGCTTTCTAAAGTGTAACATTGTTATATTGGTTTCTGTATCTCTATTATCGATAAGCGTATTCACATTGTTTGTTTTTTGTTTCTTTGTCGTTCTTACCTGCAGATACGTGTGTTTGGTCAAAGGTTCTCACCATGGGAGAAGGGCCATCTGCCAGGTTCTCTTCTGCAGGGGCTTGTTTAGATCCTCACAAAGCCGGGTTTCTCGTCTTTGTTGGTGGCTGCAATAAAAATCTCGAAGCACTGGATGACATGTTCTACTTAAATACAGGTTTCCATAAACCTCTCTTCAACTTGTTAATTGCCAAATCTCGAGGCATTTCCTTACTAATCGTTTTTTTTTTTTACTTTTGGTTAATAGGACTTGGCTATGATGCAAGGTTTGATCAGAATGTAGGTAGGATGTCTCTAAAGAAGCAACTGAAGCTAAAATGCCAAGAACAAAGCAACGCAAGTTCCTTATATGATAAATCTCTTGTCAGAATGAATATGGATCATCAAGGTGTGTTTAGACAAACTCTGTGCTAGTATAGATTAGACTGAAACATTAAAAGGTAGCATTTTTCTGTAGCAGGAAATCACTAGCCTGTGTATGTTTGCTTTTATTGTAGGAAGAGGCAGTTTCGGTTTGAACACTGGCCAATTTGATCAAGGGAAGATGATGTTTCAAGCCAGGGTAACCGAGAGTTTCCCAGTTGGTTACAGTATTGAAACAATGATAGATGGAAAAGTGCTTCGTGGTGTTTTGTTTTCAACCAAGCACAGCTCCATTCTGGCGGCGACTGATCCGAGCTTTAGTAGGCGAGTGGTTACATTAGTTTTTCTTTCCAGGTTTTCTTTTCTGTTGGGTTGCATTTGAATGTGAACAGTTTTGTGTTGTGCAGAAAGAGGCCAGCTATGTCGAATGGCGATCAGGATAACAGATCAAAGGTATTAAGAACTTTGAGCAAGGACCAAGCTGATGCTACAGAAACCAAAGGTACTCCATCAAACGGCATGGAGGTTGGTATTGGTCCCATCAGCAACCCTCTGGATGTTACAGCGGCGGTGGTTCCACATGAAACAGAAACTGCTGTCGTTACATCTGATGTCAGGAACCAGGATGCAACCCAGCTCGACATGGTGATTATTATAACACATCCTCAAGAACCTTTGTTCAGTCATTTCTATCTCTTGCGTTCCTGATTATGCTTTTTCTTTACCGTAAAATACTGAAATCTTTGTGCAGGGCACTGTGGATACAGCTCCATCTTCAGTTGCTCAGGCAGATGAAGCGTCTTTAGAATCTAGAAATGCGGTATCGATTGATGTTGGAGCTACTAAGACCGGATCTGGAGAGTCATAGCTACAGAAAAATGAAGGTGAGCAAACGTCTTTTAAGTCCTTGTAATTGAACCACTAGATTATACAACAACAGGTGAAGCCATTGCATCTAAACCATTTGGGTCTAATTCTATTCCCTTGAACAAGTGATTTGCAGATGAGAGATTCAACGCGATAGACAGGGGAACCATGACAGCTACAACACCATTCCTTTTTCTGTAAAATAGCCTGGAGATAGGAAGGGTTCAAGTTAGAATCTAAGTTAGATTTTGGTGGTGATTTGGTGTGGATGAGAAGGATGAGAACAAGCTAACTCTGAGTTAGGTCTTTTTTTTGGGGGGTTAATTTAACTTACAACCAATGTAATGCTTCTTCTCTCACAGTTCCTGACTTTTGTCTTTTCTACCTCTTCTTTTTCCATGAGAGAAAAAAATATTTTTTTAAAAAGAAATTCGTTGTAAAACTGAAGCCAACTTCAAGGGTTCATTGGTACATGTACAATGGACTCGCTACTTCATGCCAAGGAACTTCAGTCTCCTGGGAATAGTTTGTCTACATTACCTATAGATTCATGCCAATGAGCTTCAGTCTCACGTGAAGAGCCTGGAGTTGCACTACTTCGTATAGACCCAATTTTATCAGCACGAGAAGATTAACAGTCAGATGCTATTAATGTCACTTGTTCCGAGAGAATGAGACAAAGAAGAAAGATAAAGAGACAAAGATAGAAATGCCCTGAGGAAAAGTGGTCGTTGACTCTAATTCAGAGGTTACTTCTACAAAATGCGATGCCAGGCACCATTCTGAAGCTCAAGGATCGACATTGATGAACATAGACGAAAATTATGTTTAATATTGTGAAAAATGGTTGTCTGAAATCCAAGGATGATACAATGGAACAACAACACAATGGAGGTCCCAAAGATGCGGTGTCCCAAACTCAGAATCGTAAAGCCAAGAAAAAAGAAGAGGAGAAAAACCAAAGCATGGAGGTCTGCGACCCACAGTAGAGTGTATGGAAGCTACAGGTGTATGTGATATTGTAAGCGGCTAAGTAGAATGCATGTGGTGGTATTATGATTATGCGTTTTTTTTTTTTTTTCCTACCAATAGTAAGAAACAAAAGAAGTAAATCCAAGCGCAATGGCAGTGGAACTATAAAACATTGTGCGACTACGGAAATGAAAATGTGGAGATAACGTAGAAGAAAAGTCAAACTCTTCCTAGTTGGTGATCTAACTACTAAAGCATGCCTTGCGTTTACAACCAATTTCGTTGTTTATAAGCATGTGAAACTCTTCTTCTAACTTAAATTTCATGTCCAACTAAACCAATTTGATGATTGAAATGAAAACAATTTATAATCATTTTTCATGTAATCCACGGAAATAAAAGAAACCTTGTTAGTTTCCATTAAAAAGAAATATATTAGAAATGAGAATAATGGAAAAGGAAAGAAAAATGAAGATAATTTTGTGGATATCTTAACGAGAAGACACAAGTCACATGCAGAGGGAGACATCTGAAAAACAGAGTTTTAACAAACCACATCCACTTGCCACAACCCCACTTCCTCTCTCTATCTCTCTCTCTCTCTCTCTAATCTTTGTTTCTATTATTCATCAGAAAAACATAGAAAATGTATTGTTTTTGTTCTCTGAGCAGAACCAGAGAGTAAAAAACAGGGGAACATCATTGGCAGAGATTCCTTTGTTCCCTCTGCTTCTACTTCTTCTTCTTGGCTCTATTGGCTTCTCAGTATCTTATAATTTTCTGTCTTGTTTTCTTGGGTTTCGTGAGATTCTTCACATTTTCAGAATCTTCTTCTGGGGCATTCTAGCTTAGACAAATACCTTGAGAGATAATTCACGAAAAAGTGTTTCGTCTCTTTTCTCCTCCTCCTCTGCGGTGGGAATTGGGAATCAAGTTGTGCAAAATAGGGTCTAATAGATCCATTATGTCTTTGTTAGCAACTTGGATTCTGAACTCAAATCGAAGATCAATGCGTCATGTGGTAAAGTTTTGAACTTCTGCTACGAGGAGAGACAAAAATACGAATTTTCTCTTCTTTCTAATTTACCATTTTTTATTTTTGTCGTTGATAGGAAATTTAAGCTGTAATTAGCTGGAGAGCAATGGCGTTCACATTGAGCTTTGTCTGGGCCATTTTTATTGGAATCTAAACTGATAAAAAAGCTAACTTTTTTGGAATTATATGAAGATAAGGAAAGTGCGTCATTCTCGTTATGGTTTAGTTGCTGTTGATGGAGATATAACGAAAGCTTAAAGTAGGGAAGAAAGTGACTTCACACACAGTCAAGTGTTGGAATCAAAATGATAAAAAAAGAGTTCAAGATCTCTCCTTTCTCATTATATCAGTAGTAAGTTCCGGCGCCGGAAATTGGCCGGAGAATCTTACTGGTTTCAAGTGCTCTCCTAAACCTCTTCACTATTCATATGGCTGCGAAGCTTCTGCACTCATTGGCAGATGATAACTCGGATCTGCAGAAGAAAATCGGATGTATGAATGGGATTTTCCAAATCTTTGATCGTCACCATGTTCTCACAAGCCGGCGTAAAAGTCTTACTTTAGGTAATCATATAAGAGTACACTACCAAATAAATAAATACTTGTGCTCTAGATCGTGTCTCGTAGTCGTTGACATTGTACATGGTCATATGTTAAAACGTTCCTAACTTTATGTCTTTTTCCATGTTCTTCTTCTCTTCGTATGCTCTGTTTCTTCATGAACTAAAAGGTCTTGTTAGATTCTTCTGTGAGGTCTGAGGACTAAAAGGTCTGTGCTTTCTCGGCTGAATCTTATCTGACATTTCCCGGGAAAGAATTTCTCTACTTTGTGAAATGTCTGTTTGTTTTGTTATATTAAATTTTTGGTTTAGTGTGGCTTTTCTTGGTAGATTTTGACGTCCATTAACCTTAGACTCTTCAAGTTTCCAGAATCTGCAATGTTTAAGGTTTATTGACAAAGAGAATTTTGATGGTTTATGTGTTGTTTCAGGTAATGCTCATGTCAACAGTATCAACTTTGAAAAAGACTCTGGATTTCAGTTTCAGGACTCAAACATCGGAAATGCGACGAGTGAGAAACTAGCAAGGATATCAACAGAATCATCGAGGGTTTCTTTCTCATCGTCTTGTTCATCATCTTCCCCTTTGTCTTCTGAGGTAAACAGAGAAAGTCAACCTGAAATTTCAGCGTATGACCGCGTCATATTTCCAGAATCTCCTACGAGTGATCCAGTGATGAGCCAAGGAAGTGGGTTTGCTCCACATATGGGACTTGATCTTAGAGATGTTGTTCGAGACTCCATGTATAGAGAAGCTAGAGGGGTTTCTGAAGTTTTTAGACAAAAGAGAAGAGAGGATTCTCCAAGACCATATGGTTTGAAGCAGTCCACTCCTGTCGATTTCAATGAATCCTGCAAAGCTCTAGCCAAACTTAGAAAAACATCTCAGCATTATTACACCGAGGCTGACATGAAAGATGCATCCCGCTACTATGTTGATTCTCACAAGAAGTTGAAATCCAAGAAGAAGCTGAAAGAATCGCCTAGGCTTTCGTTGGATAGCAGAGACCACGTTGATCTCAAATCAGGTAATAAGCTTTCTGAAAGTTTCAGTAGAAGCTCTAGCATGAACAAAGTTTCAGGTAGCCCAAAACGGCCTCCTAGTGTTGTTGCAAAGCTAATGGGTTTGGAAACATTACCGGGTTCTCCATTGGGAAGAGACAGGATCAACATGTTTGATGATAACAGTGATCCTTTCTCAAGGTCATTGAGGGAAAATAGCCTGAACCGGACTATCCGGTTTCTTCCTAGCTCACCGAGAAGCTTAGGGAAGGATCCGGTTTCTTCTTCTTCTCCAAGATGGAGAACTCTGAGTTTGTTATGAAACCATTATCAAGTTTGAGATTCCCCATTGAACCAGCTCCATGGAAACAAACTGATAGAAACCGGTTTTCGCAAAATCAACCTGTTAGAACTGTGAAAGCTCTGTCGCAGTCAATGGAGGGAAGACTGAAAGATCTCGAGATTAAGCATGCGGGAAAGGATCTCAGAGCTCTTAAAGAGATATTAGACGCAATGCAATCAAAAAGTGTCTTTGATGTTCGAAAGCAGCCACAATGCTCAAACTTGGAACCTCAAAGAGATTATAAAATGGGAGATTCTGCAACTTCTAACCAGGATTCAAGAGGCCTACCAAACCAAGTGATGCCACCCACTATGAGAGGCCCGATTGTGATAATGAAACCTGCCAGGCTTGTTGAAAAATCTGGTATTCCTTCATCATCTCTGATTCCCCATTCACAGTCTATTCTAATCTTAACACCGACCCGTAGATAAAAATCTGTAAATGTCAAAAGAAACTCAACTAGTAAGAAAGGCAGTAAAAGATTCTGGAAACCAAAGAGCTGAATCAGGTATCAGTTCTGGTGATAGCAAATCTAGCAGCAGAGACGTGCGGTCTTCTCAGGTTTGCAAAGAAAGCAGCACTTCAAAGAATTCAGGATCTGCAAGTCCAAGATTACATAATATGAAGATGCATGAGAATGACAAGTTTTCTAGGCCACCAACCATTCCATCTGATTCAAGCAAATCAAGAAGACAAACAAACCGACAACCGGAAGAATCTACTACTTCTCCTGGTGGTAGGCGTAGACCGAGAGCTCAGAGGAGCTTGCAGCAACATGATGACCAACTTCGTCAAATGAGCAATAAATCTAGGACTGAAACAGAAGCCACCATAACTATCAAACAAGCTACTGAGTCCGGTCGTGGAAAGAGTCCATCTGTAATAGAGGCAGCCAAAACCGTAGTCTCTAACTTGATGCAGAATGTGAGTTGTTGTTTTCTCTTGCTTTTGTTAATTTGTTTAGTCATAACAAGTTGTAGCTGCTAATTTTCCAAACTTTTTATTGTTATTGTTGTGTTTTTTTTTTTTCAGAAATCCATTCCAAAATCTAGTGAAGATGGATCATCGGAACATCCAAGTCCAGTTTCTGTTCTTAACGCATCAATCTACAGAGAGATCAAACCATTTCCTGTGAAAATGCAAGCTAGTGAAGGCAGTAAGACCTCTCTGTCAACATTTTCATTGGAAAACTTAAAATATTACTTTTCATCAATCACTTTCCTTTTTCCATTTCTTATTGGAAACTGATCATGCAACAGGTGGTGATGAACAATGTGAAGAAGACAGGTGGAATCCAGCTTACAGCTTCTCGGAGACAACAACTAGCTTTTCGCCAGAGATAAACAGAAAGAAGCTTCAGAATGTTGAGCATTTGGTTCAAAAGCTAAAAAGACTAAACTCTAGCCATGACGAAGCCAGCCAAGATTACATTGCATCACTATGCGAGAACAATGATCCTAACACCGATCACAGATACATTTCCGAGATTCTTTTAGCCTCAGGTCTTCTCCTAAGAGACCTAGGCTCAGTATCAACGACCTTTCAACTGCACCCTTCAGGCCACCCTATCAATCCTGAGCTATTCCTCGTTCTTGAGCAAACCAAAGGAAGCAGCAGCAGCAATGAGAAGCTCAACCGAAAACTTGTGTTCGATGCTGTTAATGAAATGCTCGTGAAGAAGTTAGCTTTTGCTGAGGGCACTGCAGATCCATGGATGAAGCGAGCTAAAGCGACGAAGAGGGTCTTGAGTGCGCAACAGCTCTTGAAAGAACTATGTTCAGAGATAGAAACGGTGCAAAGGCAATCTAAGAAGAGATCAGATAACTTCTTGTTGTTGGAGGAACAAGAAGAAGACGACTTGAAATTTATATTGGATGAAGATATGGCGATTCAATCTGGGAAATGGACAGACTTTGATGATGTAATCCCGCGTTTAGTGCTCGACTTGGAGCGACTTCTCTTCAAGGATTTGGTGAGTGAGATCGTGCATGGTGAGATTGGTCGGCTGCAATCAAATACAGAGAAATGAAGAACGGTTTTGCGCCGACGAGTAGTTCGTTTTTATTCTCTGTATTCTTAAGCCCTATGTAATTGTATGTATATAATACAAGTCAAAAGTCAATGTTTGGTGATTCATTTCGGAGATGACACCTGATAAATAAAGATTCAGTGCTCGTGTTTCGACTTAGATTGCATTCCTATGAATCTTATCTGGTTCGAAAACCGTAGTGTTTCAGGGCTTACTCAATTTGAGAAGAAGAGAGAGAGAGAGAGGAGATTTTAGGGGTTTAACAAAAAAGGCTGCAACTTTGAAAGAAAAAGAAAAAAAAAAAAAGGAAGAAGCTATTTACAACTTCGTCGCCGATCAGCTGAATCAACGGTGAGGATCGACTCGAACATTAATCAACGGACTAGATCGTCCCGTGACGAATCGAACTCTTTACATAAAAGTCAGGGTTTTTTTCCACTGGATTTTAAGCTTAGAATTGAAAGACGTTGGGGATTTTTCACTACTAGGAAGAGACGCTTCCAGAGATTATCATCATCCACCGAGAAATCCGAAAGGTATGTGAAAATCATTTGCTTTCAGGTCTGAATTTCTCGATATATTCAGGTTTCGATCGTATTTACTGAAAGTTACATCCTTGCGAGATCTTTCTCTTTCTGGTTGCTTCATTTCCCTCATTTCACTGTCTATGCGTCTCTTCCCAACTCGAGGGATTTGATTTATATCCTACATGTGCGTCTCTCTGTGTTTCATTTCTCTATTTTGAGTTATGTAATGTATGTATTAATCAGAAACGGGATTAGGGAGTTGAAGTTGTTAGCTTTGGACTCGAACGTATAGATACTGCCTTCTGATTCTCGCCGGGGATAAAAAAAAAATTCCAGAAACAGAGATGTATTCATGAGTTTTTTCACCTTGTGATCACCAGTCTATCTACATTCTGGGGTTTGCTAATTTAGATTGTTGTCTTGTTGAAAAGTTGCTTACAGATTGAACAAGATGCATTACATGGGTATGTTTAGTAAAGCTGGAAACATATTTAGGCAGCCTAGAGCGTTGCAGGCCTCGAACGCTATCTTACAAGGAAATCTTTCATTGACTCCATCTAAGCTCTTTGTTGGAGGTGAGACTCGAAAACTTATATAATAATCTGTTTTTTTGCCATTGATAGAGGTAGTTTTCTCTTCTGAGTTTTTCTGTTTGATTTTCTTGAGAAACTCATTCTGTTATACGCTGCTTCTTTTCAGGTCTCTCACCAACTACTGATGTAGATCTCTTGAAAGATGTTTTTAGCAGATTTGGAAAAATCGTTGATGGTAGCTATTATTTTACAGCTGAACCTTTTTGTCCATTTGGTTTGTCTTCCTCATTCCTGACTAGTATATACTTTGTTCATCACAGCTGTAATCATTTCGGACCGTGAGAGTGGTGTATCGAAGGGGTTTGGTTTCATAACATATGATTCTATCGATGCTGCTAATACTGCAATGCAATACATGAATGAACAGGTGATACCAATTTTCCAGCTTCTTTTGGTTACTAAATACCATTGGCATGAGTGATGAGTCTAATTTCTCTCTCGCTTTGTTTTCTTGCTATACCCTTTGAAATCTTCCGACTTTGTGACATAAGTGTATTATCATCGACCTAATCATGCTAGTCATGCATCTCCCGTTTATCGATAAGAATTTCTCTTAGCAGAGAATCGAAGTGTGAAGTGAAACCATTTGTCGTATTGCATTGTTTATCTCATTTTCTTTGAATGTTTTGTTTCTGGCTTGGCATTGTCCTTTCTTTGTTTGCTTGGTTTTGTCAATCCACTAGTTATAGAATTTAGTTCTTAAACAGGAACTTGATGGGCGAATAATTGGAGTGAACGCAGCTGATCAAGGAGGCGGTGGTGGTGGTTTTGGTAGAAGGGGAGGTTATGGTGGTGGTCGTGGTGGATTCGGTCGTGGTGGATTTGGACGTGGTGGATTCGGTCGTGGTGGCTATGACTTTGTTCGTTAACTTGGCATCCGAGAATGTCTACCACCGAGATTTGATTAGTATGCGGTTTGATTTTCTCTTCGCAAAGACCAATAGTTTTTGTTATAACAAATAGATCAACCAGCTAAAGTTGGTAAAAACGTTTGTTGATTCAATGGAATTTAACACATTGATATAATAAAAGTTCCAAATTTTGAGATATGAATAATGAGTTTAACTCAATGAGACTAATTACTAGAAAAGAAGCTTTTAGTCCAACGAGTTTATGAGAGATTCAAACTTGAAGATAAGCCAGTCTGCTTTTGCTGCAACGGCTTCACGAAGCTGAACTCCGGCGTAGCATATGAACAAATCCGCGCCACCCGGTTGACGTGCCTGCAAGTGAATTAGTTTAGTTAGTGCTCATTTGAGATCTCTTTGTTATCTGTAAATTCTCAACGAATAAAAGCTTACTTCAAGATCAGTAGCACCATCTCCAATCATGGCCATGGTCTTGTAGAGACGACCCTGAAAAGAACAAAGTCTCATTAGTACATACTACATAGTGTTGTATTCAACAAGAAAAGTAAAATTCGATGAACCTTTCGTATTTGTTGAACTGCTTCGGCTTTGCCTCCACTTCTTGACGTAGGTTCATTCTCATCAAAGCCCTGAAACTCGCCATAATTTCCAAATAGAAGGTTGTTGGCGAAGATATTCTCTCGAGGGATGCCAAGAATCGATGCTACAGGCTACAGTGAACAGAAAATACATTCAAAGCCTTATCATCATTGTAATAGTCTACACAAGAATTAAAGGAAAAGGCCAGAGTAAAGAAATTGAAGAAACAAGTGAGAGAGAGAGAGTACATTAATCATCTGTCGAAAACCTCCTGATATCAAATAGACATCAATTTTATTGGCTCTGAGCTTCTTCACCAACTCTTCAATGCCAGGGGACAGTCTACACAAACCAAGGAAACAAAAGATAATTAACACATTCAGAAAGCAATATGGACCTGGCTTGTTGTTCCACATGTCTTGTGCATAGAATCAAGCAAGCTAGATGTTAAACCTCTCTTTGGTGCAAAGTCTATTTCAAGACAAGAACTTAGGCCAATGGAATACTTACAAGTAAATTCTATCTTTATCTGTGAAATTTTTTCTTTCAGTACAGTGAATAATGGGGGAAATAGCTCGTATCACATTAAAGAAGCATTACCTCGGGGGTCTCTTTTCGAGATACTCTTCAACTTTTGAAAGAGAAGGCTTGAACAAAGAAAGTCTTGCGGCTAGAGCTTCTTCAAATGGAACAGATCCACCCATTGCTCTAAGAAAGCAATACTCAATAGGATGAGGTGAATATACCTAAGAAAAAAAACATCAGAGCTCCAATATATAGTTGCATTGAGATGGATCACAAACCTGGCAGTCCATTCAGCAACAGCCTTTCCAGCTCCACAAAACTCTGCAAGTTCATCAATACCTTCATCCACACAAACCGTGCTATCCACATCGAAGCATACCGCTTCAGCATTTCTCCAAAGATCAAGAATTTCTAGCAATTCAGAAAACCCAACAACCAACAGTAGGAAACTCAGATGCATAACATACAAAACTATAAACAAATTCAAAATCTTTAAACAGTTTCTAGTTGCACAACCATGCACAGTATGTTCCCTAAACCCAAGTACAAAAGATTCTGACGTAACGAGTAAGTAAACCTTTTGAAGGAGCAACGTTGCCTTTGTGACCCAAAGCCGACAACTCCTGTGGCTGCACAGAAGCACTCACTGGACGAAGCAATTTGGGATGGTCCATGATCGAGACACGCCCTCTACAAGAATACCTCTTTAACTCAAGGCAAGACAAATTAGCAGAAAGTGATGAGAGCTTTCTACAGGGAACCTGAACTGGAACAGCCCTTGAAGTAATTAACGCATCCATTAAACTTGTAGCTACAAATTACAAGAAATAACAGTTCCCAATAAGTCTGGACGTCAAATTCGACACTCACATCACTTTATAAGAGTAGAAACCAAAAAGACATTTTCTGAATCCTGGACACGAGAAATCAAACAAAACTTCAGAAATGCCCATAGTTTGGCCGAATTAGCACGAAAAGAGTAGATAGAAATCTAATAGAAAACCACCCTCCTCATATACACCAAACTCATATAGGTTTCGACAAACTAGCTAAAATGTAAAGGAGACGTGTTTCGATACAAATGGTTTTAGATAGTTCAGGTGAATCCACGTGATCTATCAAATCGCTAAGCATAATCGAAACCCGAAAAAAGCAGAGATTTACGATGTAGGTTTGGGATCAGAGATCTGCACGGCGAGGGGGAAGAGCAAGATGAGACAATAAAAGTTAGCAAACCGGGAAATTTCGCCGGCGGTCGTCTTCGGCTGGTGGTCGTAGGATCGATTAATCAAAAACAAGTCACTGAGACGAGTGTTGGTTGGTGAAAGTATTAACCGCCAAAATGACAAGTTTGCCCATAATTACTTTAAGATTAAACCGCTTAAATGACACTTTTATCCTTTGTGTCTTCAGTTAAACTGTTTCGGTTCAGAAAAGTTTTGTCTAAATCGTCGCCGGTCAATCGGCAGCGGAATCGAGGAAGTTTTCGGGAATCTAAAACAAAAGTCAGATCATAACCTCTCTGCAACATTAGATTTTGCTTTTTCCGGCAAGTGTCTAAGTTGTGAACGATTCCGATGAAGGTAACCTTAAAATTTTGCCGTCTCCTTACTTAAAATTCAGAATGTACAATTTTCAGAGCCAAGTGGGAAACAGCTAGGAGAAGCAGACAAAGATGGAACACACAGAAATGTCTCTCTCCAAAAAGATTCCATCATTACAGTAGAGAGAGAGAGAGAGACCCACACTCACATGATCCACAAATCCCAAATTATGCAAGGACATAACTTAGTTGTCTGTTGTCACTAGCTCAACAAGTAGAGTGGTAAGAAGAAGGTGAAGAACAACAAGACTATGAATCTTGATACTAATAAACTGGCTCTTGGGTTTTGGAGTCTGAATCCAGAAGATGGATCTGTGTAATCCGGGTTAAAACCGCTTGTTCCAGAAGGAATCCCCAATCCTCCTCCTGTTGATGGTGTGACTGTGTAGGGTCTTGTATTAGTTGTGGTAGGGACTCTTGTCGAAGGTGTTGTCGTCACTGGAGTCGTGGTCCCACTACCACTACATTATATTGGCACAGGACAACAAACAAACAACAATCTCTAATTTGTAGATTTTCAGCTAAAAACAAAGATCTAAACAGAGTCTTTTTAGGCAGCCAAGATCCTTCATCATATCAGAACCAAATTCTTGATTCAAAACACTAACAAGAATGGAAGAAAGAACGAGAGGTGTGTACCTGGCACTTGCAGGGAAAGGACAAGAAGTGTAGCCTATCATAAGACCACAGTGGTACAAGAGACAAACAGTTACTGATAAATATATATCTTCTATAATCTATCTAGAGAATCTTGAGGTGTGATCATATATATATTAAGATAATGGATAGTTATTATTCACATTGAAACATGTGAAGTTTTTTAGATTTGATATATACTATCCTCTCTGATTTGCTTTCAAGTTGGGTTCCACTTCTACTCAGAATTTTAAATTAATTACTCTACTCACTTCTCTTTCAACTATTGCCTTTTATCTTTTACCTAATTGGGTTACCAAATGTGGAAGATGGTGAGAGACACTCACTGGGATCAGAGGCTGAGACGGTGGCTGTGCCGGCGAAGTCACAAGTGCCCTGAGACTGACCTTTCTTCTGAAAGAAACTGTTGACGGCGTAGGAGCAATGAGACTTGACGGTGTTGGGATTAAAGCAAGGTCCGTTCTGGTGAATAGGTCCACAATCAGCTCCTGCACCACATGCGTAGTCCAATGTCTTTTGCAGCATTGCTTCGCTTAATCCTTCTCTGCATACACACCATGTCCCACCTAAGCACATACAAACACACACACACACACAACACTTTCATGACCACACATTTCTTCAACACTCATTCACTGATTACATGTGTAAAATGAATTTTAAATGTGTAATTGAAGAGGGAACAAGATTTTGCACTCCATAGATAAGAAGGTAAAACCGAAAAAGTTACGAGCAAAGCAAGAAAGGGTACTTCTTTTTAGAAAATTTCATTCAAACTATGAAAGCTAAGATATTTGAGACTATTTTATGTACTAGAACAGAGAGGTTTTAAAGGATCCATTTGAGAAAGAAAAGGAAAGCACAAAACAAAAAGTATTTTTCCAAGCAAAAAATAGGATCCATGTGAGATAGAGAAGGGTTATTTTATTTCAACTTTTCAGGATTTGAACAGAGAACACTGTCTTACTTGAGTGACCAGCCAAAGCCAACAAAATCACAGCAAGAACAACAACTGCCATGGAATTGCACCAGGGCTAAGCACAGGATTTGGTTGCAGCTTGTTGTAGAGAGAGAGAGAATGGAAGAGAATGAGAAAGTTTTGAAGCTAAGAAAGAGTTGTGAGCAAGAGAGAGAAAGAAAGTCGCTGCATTGAAGACAGTGAAAAGGAGAAAAAGAGAGGCTTTTTATGTTTTACTCGCTATTATTGACTACAGTCTCTATATATTACTGGCAAAACGGAGAAATAAATACGACCAACTGTTATATATATATGGCAAATGGATTTTATGGATTTTCTTGTCTTTAATATGCCTTGCCTTGTTACTACTAGTTCCATAGCTCTAACCCAAATCTTTTCTTTGAAGACAATTTTTTCGTTTTCTTTGAAGGCATAATTGACGTATATATGTCAACAAAATATTTATGATGACAACCACCCAATTCCTTTATTGCCGTTGGATGCTTTCTACATTGAGCGGTGTGGATCACCCATCCCCATTTCTGATTCCAGTTCACAGTAACTATGATTCTATAGAAACACTAAAGTTCACTACTTTGAATTGAATAGAGGATCAAAAGATTCAATTTTTTTCTTAAATGAGGTTTAGATCAAGATACAATGAGTAAGTCACAAAACCAAATATTCAAACACGACGAAAGCAATTTCAATATCAAAACCATTGATCAAAAATCACGGAACAAGAACAAGTTTTCTCTTGTGTTTTGACTGAAGCCTCATGTGGTACGAGACCGAGATACATGTTTTTTGTTGACTGACGTGGAAATTGATATGTTATCAGATCGTTATTTTAAAATTTATCATAAAATTGTATATTATTCACTGATGATTTATAAATACTACTGTAGTTAGAATTTTCGGTCAACACCATGTGTTATTTGTTCGACTCGAACTAAAACTAAGAAAATTTAATAATTATTGATTGTAAACTGAAGAATTCTCAATTTATTTTCCGACCCAAAAATCAGGAGGAAGATTGACGAACAAAAGGATTCACCTTTACTGAGAGAGAGAGAGAGAGAGAGAGAGAGAGAGAGAGAGAGAGAGAGAGAGAGAGAGAAGAGAGAGAAGAGAAGAAGAAAATAAAAGGTGAAGCTTGGAGAGAGAATAACCACGTAAGAGGATTCTAGTCCGTGGTTGCAAACGAAGGACGCAGAAGAGAACACGATACTCTCTCTCTCTCTCTGTTGCTTCTTCCCTTCAATCTATTTTGTTATCATAATTTCTTTTCCCAAGTTTCGATTTTTCAGTTTCATCTGCGATTTCTTGCGTGTATTGATCTCACTCGATGTCGAACGAAGACTCTCTTCCGGCATTCACTTTCTTCGGCTTGGATGAAGTCGAAAACTATGGTCTGGTGAGTTCTGGGATTATTGGATAGCTTGTTCTTAATGTTTGGAATGTGATTAGCAATTTGTGAACACAATGCATGTTCTAGTTTCGGATCAATCATTCATTAGTGTCTTTAGGGTTGTTCACATGTTTGATCAACGGGGTCGATTATCTAAAATCTTGTCTTTGGTTTTTCCAGATCAGTGAAGCTGACAATTCGTTACCTATAGACATACACAATCAAGTTTTTCAACTTGTAGAGAAGGGAAACGAATCATTCAAAGAATCTCGCTTTGAAGAGGTGAATGAATCACTTTTGATTTTTCTTGCTCTTGCTGCTTTATTTAGGATTTGCCTGAAACAGAAGAGCTACTGTTTGATCCTTTAAAAGCAAACTGATTTGGTCTCTATTGGATATCTTGTAGTTTCTTGGTGCACTTTGCCTTTGGAATAGTTTCTTGGTGAACATGATTATCACAATAGCATTAGTCATATGATACATTTTTTCTTCATTTCTGGCATTGAACTTTTGATAAAACCTCGTGGTAGTTTGAAGCTTAGATGCTGAAACGCAAATGAGACAGACAAATCTTTTGTTTTTGCCAATAATATATGTTTTTCCTTCCAGGCGGTTAGCAGTTATTCAAAAGCCAATTCTATTAAACCTCTTAACCCTATTGTTCTTGGCAATAGAAGTGCTGCTTATATAAGGTAAGCTTTCATAAAACCTATTTCATCTTCTTATTGTTTACTTCCAATGGAGTTATCTTGCTGTTTTGATTAAAGATTATCTTGGACTGTGTAGCTAGTATTTAATCATAAATATTACACCGTGCTGACATATTCCTGTCTCTCTCCCTCTCCCAACCTTTTGTTTTTTTTTTCTACAGACTTGGTCAATATCTGAAGCAGAGATCTGCATCAATTTCTGAAAGTAGCCCTTTAAATGGTGTTGATATGTCGATGCTTGGGGAAGTATGTATTCTAATTACTTAACCTGTTAGTGTTGCTAGCAGTTGCAAAATTGACCGACTCTGACTCACCCTGTAAAATTGATATGTCCTACAGCTTGCTCTTAAGGATGCTGATAAGCTAATGAATCTTCAAAGCAGTTCAGTTAAGTCATATACTACAAAGGCTTGTGCCCTCATGTTGGTATGTGCTGAGTTATTCTTCTGCCTTTAAATGCTATTTGTATCAGTCAACAAATCTTTCTCGGTCTACTTTCATGTCACATGTCACAATAAAAGTTTCATTTGGCAGCTAGAAAGATATGAGGTAGCACGTGACACTATCCTCTCAGGTCTACAGATTGATCCCTTTAGGTACGGTAGTCTATGTGTACCATTCCTGACTCTGTATTGATGCCTGATCAAATGCGTCGTTTTTAAAGTTTTGTGTTTCTTTCTGATCGCATGAAGCGATCCTCTCCGATCCAATCTTCAGGAATTGGAGAAGGTTATGCCTACTTCGATGAGAAAGACCCATGGAAAGGCTGAGCGGTCTGATGACTTTGATTGCACTGTTTGCCTGAAACTGCTGTATGAACCTGCCACAACTCCATGTGGGCATACATTCTGCCGATCATGCCTCTTTCAGTCGATGGATCGCGGTGGGTTTATATGGTTGATTGTTGTTTTATACTCCTGAAAAATCTTCTTTTACTATTGTGTTGCTTATTAATGCTTTGTGGAATATAGGCAACAAATGTCCACTATGTCGAACTGTCATTTATATGACTCCAAGAACATGTGCTGTCAGGTAAAAAAATTGCAGTCCTCTCTATTCTTCTTATAGCTCCATCCCATTTCTTGTTAAAGTATCTTAAACGCTTATGCTTTAGAATTCTTGTACTGAAACAACTACATGTTGGCAGTGTGACACTGAACAACATCATACAAAAAAACTTTCCAGAGGAATATGCTGAAAGGAAAGCAGAGCAAGACACTCTGGTCCACTTAGGCAATGAAAGTATGCCTCTTTTCGTCATGGATGTGATCATCCCCTGTCAGAAATTGTCTCTTCACATATTTGAACCACGATATCGACTAATGGTGAGTTCTTTCAATTTATTTGGTTCTGTACACTTAAGAACTTGAGTGGACACTCATTTGGTGTATAACTTTGTTTCTGGCTCGCTTACACAAAACACTTGATGATCTTAGACCGTAAAAGTTGTTTTAAAATACTCTATAAAAACATATGAACACTCATTTTAGAAAAAAATAAACCTAGAAAGCTAAGTGAAGACAAAAAAAAAGGATCTCTAAATAAGCGATAGTAGATTAAAACGCCTACGGTCACTCTAGCTCGCAGCAGTATTGCTGTTTGCATAAAAAAAAAATCTTTCTGTCTTGTACTTCGATTAACATGTGTGACTGAAACAGGTGAGAAGAATTATGGAGGGAAATCATCGGATGGGAATGGTGGGTGTTGTGTCTTTTTTCTTCATTATACATTCACAAAAGGTTCCTGACTAGTAAGGTTTGCGCATTCCAATGTTCATAGGTAGCTCTTGATACTGCGACAGGTTCTCCAGTGGATGTGGCTTGCGAAGTTGAAATCACAGAGTCTGTTGCTTCTTTCTTTCTGATGATATTTAATGTCATTTTATTTGATGATCTTATCTTGAGATTACTCACACACAGTCTGCTAATGTTTTGAAATGACACAGGTGTGATCCACTCCCGGATGGACGTTTTGTCCTGGAGGTGAATTTTATTGCTTATTTCCTGGCTTTATTTCATGTGTAAGTTGTCAAGTGATCAACTTAGTATCTGTTTATTGATTTTTCAGCTGGAAAGCCATAGAAGGTGTCGCATTGTAAAAGCTTGGGATCAAGATGGGTAAGCTTTGTCATAGTGTTCTGATCGTGTCCACATCTCATTGTTCCTGTTTTTTTTTTCCACCTTAACATAGTCTTTGTATTCGTGTTAAGACTGTGATATGTACATGTTCCTGCATCATATTCGAACACAAATGCTAAGCTTGTTATTATCCGTTTTTGTTTTTTTTGTTTTCAGGTATCGCGTTGCAGAGGTTGACTGGGTGACAGATATACCACCACAAAGCGACCAAGAGAAAGCAGATGTATGATTACCGAACCTCTCTGAACAGTACTACTATATCTTTTGTTGCTATGCCCATTTCAATACTTCTCTGTCTTTTGCTACAATTAGTTTATTTCCTTTCTCTGTGTTTTTTTTTTCTTTGTGAATTCTTACAGCTGCAGGAATTGACTACTAGCGCAGCATCATTTGCTCGGTCGTGGCTAGATAGAGCAAAGGAAGCAGCTAGACAAGGAGGTAAGGAACTTATTCATTAAGCTGAGAATGAAAAGTGAAACCAGTCATGAGATCTGATATTTCCAACCGAGATTCTTTAAAAAAAAAAAAGAAAACCTCGAAATAAATTATAACTCAAAGTGCCATTTGTGTACAATCTGGTTATCTATATCTTATCCCGTTCCTCATACTCTTATATTTAATTGATACATTGGTGACACTTGTATGCTCTTTGTATTTTCAGACATGATCGAGTCTTTCCCCTTTTTTTTTTCTTTTTCCCTGCAGACAGAAGGAGACTCGAAATACTTTTAAATGTTGAATCTATGATACCTACACCTCAAGATCCCGAACGCTTCAGTTTCTGGGTAATGTTGTTCACCTGCAAAGCACTCTTTAAAGAAGGGCACAACTCTTGCCATATATACTTCTGTTAAACTGTAGCTCAGTGGTCTAATTTTTTTTTTTTTTTTGGTGTCAGCTTGCTACATTGACAGATAGGAGACCTGCAGAAAGATTGGAACTACTTCGGCTTCAAGATACTGGAGAGGTACTTGAATATCGACTAGTCTAGAAGATTGCTCGATATGAGATTTTATCGGTCCATTTCTTTTGACTGTTGAAGACTTAATACTTGTTTTTTTTTTGTTGTAGAGAATAAGGCGCGGGTTGATATATCTTCGATCAGTAGAACGAGGATGCAGAATGCAATGAGCCGGCACCATATACCCGATTTAACGGCAGATATAAACTTGGTATCTGTTCATAAGAAAATTGAGAAAAAAAAACATGATTTGTTAAAGGAAGACATAAAGATAAGAGATCCTTAATCATTATCATCCATTGTTGTAGATCATTATCATCATTATCATAAACATGATGATTCTTGAAAATGTATAATATAGCTTTGTGGATACAGTTTGCTAATTTGGTACTGTTTTGTCAAAATTCAAAGGTTAGGAGAAAGTGATTAAATTATTTTATCAAACTGTACCGAAATGCAAATTGTTCAATGTCACATCCTGATGACTCAATCATTATCCGACATCGCTAACATACACCATAACCACCACACATCATTCACCATCATGAAACGAGTGTCCCAAATTTTGGAATAAATCCTGCAACAAATATCAAGATCTTTTATATAGCCGGATATTCTATATATTTTTATACTATGTAAATGTATGGAAATATGTTTATTACTGCGCTAACTCTATACATTATGCCTGGATATTTTAATTTCCGCTGTAAATTGTCAAAAAAATTTAGCATATCATAATTATCATTAACAAAAAATTGCTTCATGGCTTTCTCCATATTTGCTTGATCATCACAGTTTCTGAAGTTCTTGTTATCGTTCTTCATGGCTTTCTCCATATTTCTCATAATGCATATAGTCTTTTGAGATCTTGGAGCTCTCTTCTGGATCCGCTTGGGAAGCTTTTCCTGACACAAACAAGTTTGTACAGAGTCATTTCCCTTGTTTCTTACCTGCAATTCAGAAATCCATACACTTGTTGCTCATCATATCATAAGATCTTTAATTTCATAGTGTAAAGTAAGAAACACAAAGGACTGAATCCGAAACCAGAATATCTAGGAGATTATTGCGCGCTATGGCACAGAAGATCATAAAGCATAATCTCTCATTCTTGTTAGCATCATGTTATACCTTTCTGGAACCAAGATTTTCGAACTAACTGGCGAATCTGGCGCTCATGGCGTTCCAAAAGCTCATCAACTCCATAAGATTGAGACAACAAGGGGCCTGAGAATTCGATTTTTTCATTATTGTCTTCGTCACCCTGTCAAGGTCTTAACTCATTAGCGTCATTGAGTATGTTTTTCAACATTTCCTAAACAAAAAAGACAAAGCAATCATGCATATTCTACTTTTTTTTCCTCTCAAGTTTTTAGGTGAATATAAAACGTGGGAGAAAAAGAAATAAAGCAAATAGCAATGTGGATCTCTTTCTACTCCTTGTTACGATGTCACCTATCAAAAGCTTTGAAACCAATAGCTTACTGATTACCTGTAGATCATTGCCATTATTAGCATTTAGCGAGATCGCTTGAATTAACTAGTGCATCAGAAATTTCAGAAATCATAACTTTGGATTCATATAAGTTGAGGTTGGCGTAGGAAAGGTGAAGCCGGATAGAGACGTGCAAACCTAAGTATACTTGGTCTCTACTATATCAACTCTAATTTGGATACTAGGGAAAAAAAAAACAACGGGATGTTATGGCTTCTATTATCTACTGACGTACCAAATGACCGAGTTTTTCTGCCTTTTCTTCTCTCTGATAAAGTGCCAATGATAGGTCCTGTGAATGATACTCGTCCGAAGCATCAAATGAATCTGGACGTTCAAGTTGTCTCCACTTCTTCAGCATTGAAAGCTTCAACATCTCATATGACTCACGGTCTTGGGAATCTGTCCTTGCCCCATGTTTCTCTTCCTTTTCGTTCTCTTTTATCTTAAACTCAACGTCAGTGCTCTCACTGAAAGCAGGAGAAGGTCCCAACAGGTTAGGAATGTGACCTCTTGAGAGAGATCTATTATGTGATCTAATAGATACGTCATCTTTTCGTCGCTTTGCCCATGCAAAACCGCTTGATACAGAGACTTGCAAAGGCCCTGAGAAAGGCACATCTCCTTGTGATGCGTTCTTCACATGAGAACCTTCTTCTTTTTCATGATCTGATGGCTTTTTCATTTTCTCATATAGAGTGGCATCGCTATCAATCGAACTATGAACTGAATGACCATTACGTTTCTGAAAAGTCCGGGAATGTTGTCGTACATCCTGCAGCCAGATAAAAGGGGAAAGTTTTAGGATTTCTAAAAAAATGCAGATAATATGTAAACAAGAGGTAAATCAGAGATACCTCTGCTGGTGCCAAATTAGCAAATGCAGGGGGCTTTCGTGTTGGCTTCCTCGATTCCGTACCACGTCTCCCATTCCCGCTGATTTTTTTCCTGGAACAACATACATATGAGGATAATAAATGAATGCTTTCACGACCTGACGCTTAAGAAACTAAGACCACAGAAAATGATGGTGCTAACAAAGCAATTCCCATAGGCTATAAGAGTAAGCTATGTTTTCCCGCTGTATTTTTCTTCTAACCAAAGCTATAGCACAATGATGATGATAATGAATGAAATTCTGACCTTGTTGCATCTTCTCTATGCTTTGCATCAATCTCCTTGCTAGGGGAGTATACAGGCAAGCTCGAGGGATCACAAGCAAAAGGTTTTGTAGTGAAATACTGAAAAAATAAAAGGTAATGTCTTTTGAAAAAGATGTGACAAGAGAACTTGATGTTGTCATTAGTAGTTGAAAGATAAACTGGTTACCTGAGAAACAAGGGCAGTAGACGCAGTCCCACGTTTGTGTGGCTCTACACAAAGAAGTGTTTCTATAAGAGTGATGTCAGCGTCAGAAAGATCTTTCAAGGTTTCTCGGAGACAACCATCATAATGCTGCTGTGGTTTGAAAAGCATTGCGTGAGGAAGTTTGGACTTTTTCCAGTAGTCTGCAGGTGGAGATCCACATAGTTTGAATATCTTGTGCAGCTGTTCGACCTGTAGCATACATTTCAAGAAGCAGCACTCTTTCGAGTTAAAAACAGAGCAATATACAGGACAAAAAGGTCTGAAGCTACTTGTAACATATATTAACAAGACAACTTGTTGTGAGTTTACCTCAGTTCTTCCCTGCAGAACCGGTTTCCCGAGAAGAAGTTCAGCAAAAACACAGCCAACACTCCACAGATCAACAGATGCTCCATACTCCGTTGCTCCAAGCAAAAGTTCAGGCGGACGGTACCACAAAGTCACAACCCGGCTGGTAAGAGGCTGCTTGTTCCCAGAAACATTGCAAAAGTTTGCTAGCCCAAAATCAGCCACCTTTAATATTCCTTCATTATTCACCAAAAGATTCGAACCCTTGATGTCCCGATGCATCACACCTCGTGCGTGACAGTGATCGAGTCCAGACAACAATTGTTTCATATAACACTTAATCTGCAAGGCCAGCCAACAGTCATCGGACAAAAATCTTTCAGTACAACAAAAGTGATGGTATAATGAGTATAAACTAAACTGACCTGTGGAGTTGTGAAGTTGATGTCAGGACTAGAGAGAAGACCAGTGAGATCATGCTCCATATACTCGAACACGAGATGTATGTTGCAAGATAGTTTTGAAGTAACCAAGCCTTCTAGTTTGATAATGTTGGGATGATTGAGCCTCCTAAGTATCAAAATCTCTCTAGCCATGAACCTAACACTCTCTGGCTCGAAATTGTCGAATCTAACCTTCTTCAAAGCCACTATCCTCCCGGTTTCAGTCTCTCGTGCACGGAACACGCTACTATAAGTCCCTTGTCCAATCTTCAAAATTCCCAGAAACAAAAATATACAAAAGCTAATCATTTCCTCTGAATTTTTGCATAAACATAACAGAGAATTGTACAATCTGGGGCTGTGAAAGTAACCTTTTCCAGCTTCTCGAAAGCGTCGGATCGAAATGGGACCCAGCCATGGATCGCTTCGCCGGCGACGTTGCTCAGCCACGCAGGCCAACCGGCGGCGACCTGCTCAGCTTCCAAGTACTTACTTAAGTTACCGAGCCGGAAACTCAACGACTCACTCCTGCAATTCGAACTCGCTCGACCGGACTCGCTCAACTCGCTACCCAACTCGCTGCCGCTCTTCTTGCTCCTCTTCTTCCCGCTCTTGCTCCTCCACGACGAGACGAGCTTCTTCTCCACCGCCGGAGAAGGATCGTCGACCACAATTCGACCGGAGCCGGAACACGCATTGTCCCTGAACACTCCCGAGTGATCGATCGCTGGCGTTACAGAGACGGTCTGCTTCGAGCTGACGCAACCCATTCCAGAATTTCGCTCCTCCGCGTCACCACATGTGTACCGGACTGTCTTTTTGCCGGAGCTGCTGATACGACCCGAAACGTGACGATGACGGATCCGGATTCAGAGTGAAACTCCAGAAAGTAGTGAAACTATCAACTATTACGGTTATGTATTTCGTTATATATACAGAGAAGACATTTAAGAGAATGTTTTCTCGGCTTTTTCGCTTTTTGATTTTGGCGTGAATTGCGGAAGACGACGGTCCTTTCTAATATAAAAGTTTTAATGGAATTAAAATAGAAATGTTTTGCCGAAATCGACGGGAAGATTTTTTGGATCGACGACAATAATAATTAATATGAGTTTGATCAATCAAGTACAAAAATATATTTCCTTACTATTCCTACTTTTTAAATTGCCATTTTTTTTTAAGAATCCAACTACGATTTCTGAATATAGATCATGAAAACAGTATCTTTAAATTACTATTATAGGTAAAAGAGGAAATACATGTACACAAATACTTTTTCTTTAATTGGGATCAAAAGAGAGTATACAATATGTTAAAATTCTGAGTTTTCTAGGAACAGTGTAATTGACCAATGATTATTATGCAAAATGGGATGAATCTTGACTAGTGGGCAGTGTGAGAGTTAGCTAATACGGCCAAAAACTATGGTGGGTCGTTCGTTGTTGACTAGCTTGGCGCCTTGGCCCCTTTTTTTTGGTTTTCTTAAAACGTATAGTGATCACATTTGTCATGTGTATACTTGATGATCATTACGCGATAACATATTTTCTAGTAGTAATTCTGTTAGTCTTATTGTATATACATACGGATCGGTAAATATATGTTTTTGTTTACTTACTTCATTGGTGGTATTAAAATGCGTGTTGCCATTTAAAGATTTCTTCTTTTTTAAAGTAAAATAATTCATTGGGATTTGAGCCTCAGTAAATCAATACTTCTCTACTTATTCCTCATTAAATATTTGAACTATTGTTGGGTACATCATGTGACTTTCGTATACCATTTTTTTAAAACAAGCCTATATATTTAAAACACGTAATAATGGATAAATAAATTAAATGTATTGATACGTGTATGTGGGAGCAGCATTTATTGTTGAAAGCCGAAATTCGAATCCACCACAACAACTAATCTTTGACATTTCATTTTTATGCAGCTCTATTAATAAATGAAATCTTTTTGGTTGAAATTTGAATTCTTTTTTTCACCGAAAATTTCACTATTCAAATATGGAAGGAAAAAAATGAAACATAAAAACATTTAATTAAAGAGAGTAAGAAAAACAAAAAGTAAAAGGATGATTGTGTTGACTTTAACTTTCCGGCAGACATCTTTCTTTAATAGCTCACATAATTGCGCACCTTTCCCGTTTTTTGATATTTCATGTCTCTACGACCAACTATAACATTAAAATATACTGTAACAGTCACTATTATTTCTTGACTATACAAAAGTGAAATTAGGTGGTCGATCTATTAACAATCAATTTGTTGACTTCAAGTTAGGTTCCAGTAATATTGCTTCCAATTTCAAGGAGCTACAAGAAAATACAATGGAGAGGTAGTGTAGGATCATCACTATACTCTCACAAACAATGGTTTCTTAATGAGTAAAAGATTCAGATGGATCCAAAATCTCATCGGCAAAGTTTGAGCATAAGAGTTGAATAATCAAAGCTTTACAAAGAGTTGATTACTTTCTACGATGGTAACTCACACGCGGCTTTACCATCTTTGGACTTGTACTGACCAAGCAGCTCGGCAACTGTTTTGCAGCGACATTCTTTTCCAGGTCTTAACACGTCTCCATAAACAGCCATTTCAATGACATCGAGCTCCTTGTCTGTATGTTTACATTAGAAGAGATCATAAGAAAGTGAAACCAGAGAGTAGACACACTACGCACACTTTTGAGTCCACTTGTGTATGATCATTGTAAGTGTATTAACAGAAAAACATGGAAACAAACAATCCTTTGGAAAGAATATGCATTTTCCAAGGGCATTCACACTTTGCTTCACTCATTTAAAATGTAAACTAGCAAAAGCGGCACTGCTTTTGCGGTTAAAGAAGATTCCAAGACGGTCAAGTGCAATTCTTGTTTTGATGAAAACAACAGAGAAAAGAGAAAGAAGATCTAAAGCAAAAGCAGCTCTCCCACATGTATGAGCTTCGCATAACTTTGAACAAACATGATATTTGACACAACACTTTATGAAGACAAAGAACGAGTAAACAGCCATTGCGAAATTGAGGTATCTAGTAGAACAGAATATATAATCTACCCTTGATGGATCCTAACATGATATCAACATAATCAAATGTAAAAATCACATTCAAGCTTTGTCACATCTTACCAATGATAACAACATAGTATCTACTACATAAACTCAATGTAGACTGAAAAAAAGAAACCAAACAAGGGAGCAAATCTATGATCTCATCATCACATGTAATAGGCTATAACATTGGAAACATACCAGTGAATTGCAGGCCACATGAATATCCCTTGAGTGTGGTTGCATCCACATTTTCTTGAGCTGATTTTAATCTGTTCACTCTCGTTTGAAGAATCTGACAATTTTCCGCCGTCGACTCTCCACCTATACACATAAATCAACGACAATCAAGAGCTAATTGTACAATCGAAAACCCTAAAAAAATCAAATGACCACATTCGGGAAACGAATCAAGACCTTTGGAATAAGGAACAATGTGATCGTATTCGAAACAGAGACAACCGCTGCAATTTCCGAAGCGTTTGCAAACGACGTTTCCGGCGGCGTCTTTACGCCACCTCTCGGGATGTCGACCAGGGACGACGTCAGCATTCCCCCAGCACTTGTTCTTCGCCTTTGCATCGAAGAAACGAGGCCTTTCTTCGCCGTTAGGTTTCCCGTTGAATCGTGACGGCGACGAAGGCGGCGACGGAGGAGTTGAGGCGGCGCTGGAGTTAGAAAACGAGGCCGAGTATGACGGAACGGAGGAAGAGGACCCCATCGATCTCTCGAATTTGGGACTTTGAACCGGGAAGGTGAATTAAATTCGGTTTTTGAGTAAAAACATAAACCGAACCGGAACTTTTTTTTTTGGAGCAAAATTATTTTTCAATAGATGGCCAAGGGAACTCCGTAGTCGTCACTGGTCACAGTGACCACCTTCGGCTTCAGAGCCGATGTGGCTCCTATCGTAAACTTCTTTCTCTACCATCTTTTCGTTATTTCCCTTTCTTCCTCCTCAGTACGACGGTGCCTACTCTCTCGTTTCTGCACAATTGTCTATCCATTTTCCTTTGATTTCTGGGTTTTGGGTGAACTGTTAAATTCTTAGTTATGAATTGGTGTTTGTTTTGTCCTTCCCTGACTATTTCTTACGGGCAAGCGTTTATGTATGTAATTGGTTTCTTAAAACTAAAACGTGAATGCAACTCTAGGGAAAACCACTTCTATGATCATGTGGAACTTTTTGTTGTCACTTGCTGTCTTGAATGTGGAACTTTTGTAGTCTTCAATTGAAATGGATTTGACCTTAGAATGCTGTATTGCTGATAGTATATGTAGGCTATGCATGTAGATATTGGAATATATATTCAATTGAATTTGAGGACTGGACTTCAAGTGGTCTAAGCTGAAAGTACATTGTCGACAAAATTCAACAACATTTGTATTTTTTTTTTTAAAAATTGACCATGACAGGGATTCGGGTTCAGGAGATACTTGTAGACGTGATTTTCGGTTGATTTTTTTAGTGCTAAATCTCTTTGCTTTCTGTTGTGTGTGCGTTAGCTTTCTGCTAATACCATCAGTGCTGCTCAATATACTGCAGACACTGTGCGCCTATAAGCTGTTAACAAATCTAGAATGGAGAAGAACTATCAATTTTATGGCGTTGATGAAACCGCAGTTTTTATATGAAAACAAAATGCTTGATTTAATGATTCCAGGCTTGCAGCATGTTATCGAAGAGCTTGCAAAAGAATATGTTGTGGAATTTTGCAAATAGAAAACGTCCTCTGCTGGTCAGTTGACCAAATGACATCTTTACCATCTCCAATTCTCTCTCTTGAATTCGTTTTTATGATTTCTTTTGGATACAACTTGTTAAGGTTTTATGGCAATTAAGTTTCAAAACTCTGCATTGAAGTTCCAAAGTTCGAAATCCTGGCTGATTCAGGTATGCCATTGTTTACAATTGCGTGTACACGGTTAGTTCTTGTTTTATATTTATGCACAGGCTTACATAAGTTAAGGTAGAGATACCTAGCATGCTTTTAAAACCACCTCCTAAGCAATCTGGCATGGTTATTCATAATTTGAAGATCCTAAACGTCTTTTTCTATTTTATGCAAAAATAAGATTGCATCGAACTGAGCATTTTCTGCAGCATCAAATCTATTTAACTACGACCACATTTCTCCATTATCTAATATAATATTCTTTAATTAATTTTTAAATGACGCAATTTCAGATTGTAAATCTCCATCAGCTACTACTTCTTCCATCGGGATCCTGCCAAAACACTGAAATTTCAGAGCCGTGGAGTTCGGAAAGGGAGAGACCCATCCTGTGAGTAAAAGACAGTCTTCATGGATTATGGTTATTAGTTAGACCGTGTACGGTTTCAAGTTGAATCTTGAGGTCTCTCTCTGTGAGTGACGTCTAGAGAGGGAGAGGCAACAGGTGAAATGGGTCAAGATGGGCTGAGATCCTCTGGAAGTGGCGGAGGACTTTCGACAACGGCTGTATCGAATAGCGGAGGGAGAGGCCGTGGTTTTTTGCGCGGTTGGCCTGTTCAAAATACTTTAATCAACATCAAGATCATGATTCTCTGTGGATTTCTGACCATCGTCCTCCTCCTTGGAACAACCAGTATTGGAAACTTTGGAAGCTCCAGTACCGACTCTGTCAAACCGATTCTTGCCGAGAGCCCATCTGGTTCGGATCCAACCGACTTGGATGAGCCGCCAAAAGCTGAGATTAATCCCAATGTGACGTACACTCTCGGGCCCAGGATCACAAACTGGGACAGTCAACGCAAGGTATGGCTGAATCACAACCCTGGTTTCCCTAGTATTGTCAATGGCAAAGCTCGAATCTTGCTTCTTACCGGGTCTACCCCGGGACCCTGTGTTAAACCGGTTGGAGACTATTACCTGTTGAAATCAGTGAAGAACAAGATTGATTACTGTAGGCTTCACGGGATAGAGATTGTGTATAACATGGCGAATCTGGATGAGGAACTTGGAGGGTATTGGACGAAACTGCCTATGATTAGGAGGTTAATGTTGTCTCATCCAGAAGTAGAATGGATTTGGTGGATGGATAGTGACGCTTTGTTCACTGATATACTGTTTGAGATCCCTTTGTATCGGTACGAGAAGCATAACCTGGTGATACATGGTTATCCGGACTTGTTGTTCAACCAAAAGTCATGGGTTGCGTTGAACACAGGTGTTTTTCTGTTGAGGAATTGTCAGTGGTCATTGGATTTGTTAGATGCTTGGGCTCCAATGGGACCAAAAGGGACGATTCGAGAGGAAGCTGGAAAGATACTGACTGCTTATCTGAAAGGTCGGCCAGCATTTGAGGCAGATGATCAATCGGCGTTGATATATCTCCTGCTTTCACAGAAGGATAAATGGATGGAGAAGGTTTTTGTTGAGAACCAATACTATCTGCACGGGTTTTGGGAGGGTTTGGTTGATAGGTATGAAGAGATGATAGAGAAGTATCATCCGGGTTTGGGAGATGAGAGATGGCCCTTTGTGACACATTTTGTGGGGTGCAAACCGTGTGGCAGCTACGCTGATTACGCAGTCGATAGGTGCTTCAAGAGCATGGAGAGGGCTTTCAATTTTGCGGATAATCAAGTGCTCGAGCTGTATGGATTTAGGCACAGGGGACTGTTGAGCCCCAAGATTAAAAGGATCAGAAACGAGACAGTATCTCCTTTGGAGTTTGTAGACAAGTTTGATATCCGCAGAAGGCATGCAGAAATCAAAGCATAGAAGCTAGGAGTGAATCATACACAGCTTGACGAGATTTTTAGGGAATGTATAGGTAACAAGGAACACTCACAAACGCAAGTTGTTCCTTGTGCTTATTTGTCTGCTCTTGTTTGGGAAAAGTTTTAGCTGCCAAAATCTTTTTCCACTGATGTTTTATGTCATTTCGAGTCAATCTATATGGAGAAATTTGATACTTGCAATTCTGCTTGTTACTCCACTTTTGGCATGTCTGCCATGTTAAAACTTGTTGGCAATTGTCAGCTTTGAAGGAAAGATTAGGACAAATCATGGAAAGCAAACTTGTGGTCACTTCATTCCAGGAACATCAATGTGTTCTGTTGCTAGGTATTGGCATGACCAGGTTGGAGTCGGGTCTTGTATGTAAAGTATTTAGAGAGATGGTTGATCAATTTCTATCGCAATATTATCTTCTTTCTTTTGCAGTTTTTATCTATAAACTCGTTGCATTATTGTTTGACAGTCCAAACATATTTTGTAATTAAAATTATTAAACTAAAAAAAAAAGAGACAGATAAATATGTATGTCAAAGGTTTGATCAAGATGCGATTTTTAACCCCAAAAAAATTATTATTATTGCTTTACTTAAGGAGTCGATCCAACTATTTACGGATATACGCGGAAAAATATCCGAACGCAATTTATTTTAAGAGACTCTTTGATCGGAGTTTGCCAAAAGTCCGATGGCCAAGGAAAATCTGTCGTCGTCGTCAATGTCCTCCGTCCTCAGAGCCTACGCGGCTCCTATTTTCATCTTCTTCCTCGCTATGTTCTTCCAGCTTTTCCTTCTTCCTCGCTCCTTTCCTCCTTCTCACTACGATGGTAACCATCTCTCTCCCTCCTTTCTACGCACTGTCTCTCTCTCGACTTCATTGTTTAAATTGCCTTCTGGGTTTATTGTCTGAATTGAATTTCCGTTTCTCCTTTTGATTTCTTAGTTTTGGGTGTAAAGATGTACAGTTCAGTGGATGACGTGAGAGAGGCGTACGAGAGTATTGCTTCTCAGTGGTAACTTTCTCGATCTGGGGGAATTTGTTCTCTCTTAATTAAGGCTAGTCCAGAAAGTAGTATGTGCGTTTCGTGACGAGCTCTTGAGTTCTTAGTTATGAGTTGCTCTTTGTTTTCTTTTTCCCTCTCCCTGATAATCTTCTCATGCGCGAGCAACTAAAGTATGCAATTGGTATTTCAGAACCAACCTGTATTCTTTACTGTCGAAGTAGAATTATATTGAGACGTGATTTCTAACTGCTAGCATAAAAGCATATTCCTTGCTTTCGTTTGTTCCCACCAGCATTGCAATATGCTATTTGCTAAATGATAGAGGAAAAACTTCTCTTCGACCTCGTTTCTAAGACAACTCAGCTTACTGTTAGTGTATGTTGGTTAGGCATGCGAAAGTTGGAATGTATCCCACTTGAATTTGAGAACTAGAGTTTGTGTGTTCCAAGTAGAAAGTATGTTGCACACACAGTGAAACAACCTTTTTCACCTCATTTTTTGAAATTGATCGTCACAGGGATTCAGATTCAGGAGAGGCTCGTCCAGCTGATTTTATAAAGGTTGGTCGATTTTTTTTTTTTTTTGTGTGGGCAAAATCTGTCAGCCTTTTGCTGCACTTTAAGTTCCTGCTAATACTATAAGTGATAATAAATATTATGCAGATACAATACGCCTATGAGCTGTTGACAAATCTAGTGTGGAAAAGAGACTATGACGTGTATGGCATTGATGAATCAGTGGTAAGTTCTTAGTTCTGTTTCTTCACTCATGTTGTCCACAAAGAAGGAAGATTTCTTCTGACTTTTGTTTTTTGAAAATCAATTGCTTGGTTTAATGGCTGCAGCATATTATAGAGGAGCTTGAAAAACAATATGCTGTGAAAGATTTTGCAAAAGTAAAACTTCCCTTGCTGGAAGTTGTTTCTTATGGTCAGTTAACTGACAGGCCTCTTTGACATTTCCAGTTCTCTTTCTTGAATTCGTTTTATATATCTATTTTGGATGCCAACTTGTTTGCTTTAAAATCTTTTTAGAGCCTGAACGTGAAGGTTTTATGGCATTTACATCCCAAGACTTTGCGTCGAAGTTCCAAGATTCCAAGCCATGGCTCATTCAGGTATAAACTCTTCTAGATTGTTTACTCAGGGACGGGGGTATGTAACTTTTTGTATAAACTGATACTGGAGTACCAAGTCTAGAATACCTAGCATGCGTTTGAAACCTCTCTTACGAAAGATACATGCAATCTGGCGTGGTATATATATACATGTTGAAGATGTAAAAATTTTATACATGTTGATAAATAAATGTTGGCATGCGTGTAACCATATTGGTTCATTCTGTGCTTCTCATTATCTTAAAGCTCCAAGATCTTTCCCTTTTGGCGTCTATTGGAATATTAATGCAATTTTATATTTGCAATGCTATTTAATATTTGATTTATCTACATACCTGTAGGTGTATTCTTCTGGTAGCAACAGCTCTGCTCAGTTCTCTGCGGCTTGGAGAAGGATTGGTAGGATTCCTCTTCCTGTAGTATTTAAAAAGTGAAAAAGTCTTGCCAGCCTTAGTTAAAGACAGTTCAATATTATAGATTGAATACCTAGAACAGTGCATATGACAAGGGGAAGTTCAAGAGTCTGCAGTAGAAAGTGTTAGTTTTCAGGAAAGGAATATGCTGTCTATGATCTACAAAGCAGGTGTAACAATGATACGTAACCAGATTTCAAAAGATATATTTTAACAAGTAGGGAGAGAACACAAAATTAATATCTAATAGTAGTGTTGACATGCTTTGCAGTGAATGGAATTATTTTACCAATAGCTCTCTTGTATAATTTCAGTCGATTTGTTGGATGGGGTTGCTAACCATGCGATGGTAGAGCTTGGCGATGTTCGACTTGTGACCTACCTTGCTGAGAAAAAACCAACAGGACAAGTATTTTTTAGAAAAGGTAAGTTATCACTTTACTCATCATCCTACCAAGAACCTAGACAAAAAAATGAGTTGAAGAGACGCAAAAGACAGTAAAAATTAGATGGAAGTAAGTAAGTGAGAGAGGACCCATTGAAAAAAACGTTGAGAGGATCTGCATCTGCTTAAACTGGATCTAGATTGTGTGTTTGTACTTAGGAAGAATATTACATCCTGTAAATTTGGGCTCTTTTGAATATTAATATACAGTTCCTTGTATACATTCACACTCGTTCTATTATGGCTATCGTTTATATTTCAAACAGCTATAATGGTTGTATGTGCCTTGGTCTCGTACCAGAGCTTTTACGAGTTGCTTTAAGATGCATGGATTTTTCTCCTGTTTTAACCTCATATTATGCATGCAGGCCTTCCCTCAATTGTCGCTTTTCCCCCACATTGCAAAACTGCAGATTGTCTTATCAGGTAGCTCACTGACCCTGTAATTTAACAGGAAAGGCTTTATGGGTAGTGATGTTTTCTTTGGACTACTCATCTAAAGGATTTTTTGCTTCATTTTCCTTCTTCGCATAGTATAATGATTTATATCTACTTTTTTAGGTTTGAAGGAGATCTGTCAACAGACACAGTTACTGATTGGTTTGCAACCACTGTTCTGGAGTTGCCTAGAGTATTCTATCACACAAAAGAAACGCTGGTATATAGACTATCTCTTAACGCCATGTTATTGCTAAAGTTAAAAATTTGTTGCAGATGATGTAAATTTTAGAGGACCCATATCTGACTTTACTGTAGTACTTAGTTGGTAGTCTTAATATCTTCAGTGCCTTGAGTCCAACCAGATGGATCTGCTATAACCCTTCAGCAACAGCAAAGACAATGGTTTCTGGGGAAGGGATCTAGGTGTAAGTTTAACCATGTCAGAACCTCCATTGGGAAACTTTGATCTGCAAACCTGCAGACCATATAGTATCTTAATCTTTTTTAGATTCGTCCATGTTATGGTTCGTAAAAGTGAGACCGTTTAGCTTATATATTTTATTTAGTATCATTCTTAGCTGCTGTGTGTTGCAAGATCTTCTAGAATCTTGTTTTGCGAGGTTTTGTGGTGATATGTTGACACATATTGTATATTTAGACTGTTCACTTACTTTTTTAGGTAATTGGAATTATATTTTCGGTAATAATTACAAATACATTTTTTTCATACAGGTACCCAAATTTCTCTCCAAAGTTCCACCTAATAAGGTTTGTTTAACTTTCTTAAAAAGTTGTTCTCTTTGAATTTTCCTTTAACAAGCGTTTTTGTGTATAAATAACACATTTAGCAGACATGTAGATAGATTTCTGCATCACATCTAAACACTAAACTATTTCCCTTTTTCGTCCTTTCTCTTATCTTCCCATACTCTAGGTGAAAGTCATTTTATTCTCACAAACAGGGGAGCGAGCCACTCCTTTTGTACGCCAAGCTGCAAAAGATTATTGGAAATTTGCCTCTCTATCTTACGTGCTTTGGAGAGAAGAGGATGCATCTTTTTGGTGGAATGGGTATTTCATTGCACTTCTAATTCTGTTTATCCGCGCTAGTGTCTGTTGCTTCTGGGAAAGATTTCTTATCAATATATCTGTTTTGGTTGTAATCCTTTCATACTCCCACCGCATTATTAGACATCTGCGCATCTCATAATTTTTCTTTTCTTACAGGTTGGAGGTGGAATCTGCACCTGCCATGGTGATTATGAAGGATCCGGGTTTAAAACCTGTTGTCTATCATGGTCTTTCACTATCTTGAACCGAGTGATTAGCGTACTAATGATGCATGGTTAGGCAATTAATTGTATTAGATATTACTTATTGCAGGATCTGGCAACCGTACATGGTTCTTGGAGATTCTGGAGCAGAACAAGCAATTAAGTAAATCCCTATGCTTCTACTCGTTATATGTTCAGTATAATTGGGTTCTTCATGTGCTTTTCTTTTTCTTCTCAGTCTGCAGTCTTGTAGATGAATGGTTTTAACAGTTTTATGATCAATGTTTTTAAGAGCTTCCTCAACTAAGAAGCACAACGTCAATGGAACTTGGTTGTGATGCACGGGGATATTCTCGAGCTGGTTTTGATACAGCGACGTGGTACTGTGCCATCCTTGTTGGAAGACAGAGCGTGGAACTAAATAAGATGAGGGAAGTGAGTAAAGTCTTTTGCAAAATCGTCCATATTTACCTGAAGTTCTCATCTCCTTCCTGATTAGAAATGTGTTTAATCTTACAAGCTTGTAGACCATGTGTAGGGTACAAGATGCTTTGTCGAACCATGAAAAATCTGATGAGACTTCCAAGGATCCATCAGTAGCTCCAGCAGCTTCTGCACACACAACCAAGCGACTTTCATTTGCGTGGCTCGATGGAGAAGTTCAGAGTGTAAGTATTCTGGCCAGAATCTGTTCTGTTTCCTGAGTCCATCAGGATGTCTTAAGATTTC